AACCTTTCTTTTCGTTGTGGATCTCTTGTAAATAGCATAATTAGAATCATACAAAATTGGTTTGTTCTCCACCTAAAGATCCAAAATCAGCTCCTCTTCATCCATGCAGCCTGCGATAAGAATTTATTAATTTTTTAAGTTGTGATTGGATTTAATGAAACTTTTAAGCCTCTTAGTATAAAAGAAATAATTTAACCGAGATGAGAAATGTGCTTCATGGTATGTTGAAGCGCCAATAGTTTGCGTCCAATAATTTAAATAAACGGCCTTAGTTTTTGGTAATATATAAGAATTATTTTTTTGTTACCGATCTGTCGTTACTGGATTTTGATTGTATTATGTCTGATTAGATTAGTGTAAGACTGATAGAAGAGGAAGAAGATTAGGAGATTGATAGAAAGAATAATTGAATGAGAGCGGAGGAAAAATCTACTTAGAGTAAAACAGAGAGCAGGTAGAAGTCAGCTACAAATAGAAGATGGAGAAGGAAGAAGGCAGAGAAGACTGAATGACCAGATGGCACTAATAAACACTTATCTATTGATTCATTTTATCAATCTTAGGAAATAGTAGAGGGACATTCCTGGATTTTACACTTGATTTTTGTTGTCTAAATATTAATAAATATGTAAAAATGGATGAAAGGATCACTGTCCCTGTTTCCTATTTTAATGTTGATTATATGTCTTTCTTTTTATCTACGAGCAGGAAATGTCCCAAATTGAATTTCAGAAATCTGGTCACCTTAATTTAACCAGATCATCTCAGCTTGTTATTCTGCTGCAAGGTTGTAAAAAGGGAGAAATACTCCAGTTAAAAGCTCGTAAACTACTATATCTACACCTCATCTCTTTGTGGTATGTCAGAACCATTCAGCTAATAATTGTTGAACCAGCACATTTTATTGTATCTTTTGTATGTCTTGTGTTTTACTCTCTGTTAAATTACTTTGGGATTGTTATCCTAAAAGGCCCCTTATGAAGTTTGAATTACTTGTTTAAACTAATAAACACATTGCTGTTAAATGGCCACTAACCCTAAACATGTTTATATACACAGGGAAAACAATCTAGAAATAGCTAAGTGAAAAGTGTATTTACCCTTAATTTGAGTGGGTAAATGAGATGGAATGAGTATTTTTATTCTTAAGATAATTAGATAATATGCATTTGAAATAAGACAATGCAATAGTGTTTTCTTATTTTAAATGTAAATTGTCTTGTTCCATTGGCAAACTGTCTCTTTTACCTCCTTAATCCAAGAACAAATGCACTTATTTTAAGAAAAAATTACTAATCTAGATTTAGATTTTTTTCCAGTGTAGGTGCGAAAAAGGAATGCTATCACCTCACGTCGCTGCAGCTTCCCCTTTCCAAGTTTTGCTGTATAACATATCTATATTCCTCAAGATGGAGGCTGAGATGTAAACATTTTCAACCATAGGAAAATTCTACTATCGTTGTCTCATTTCAATCCATGGTGGAAACACTAATAGCTAAGATATTTAAGCACTTCACAAAAAATAAAAAATAAATTGCACAGTTAAGAGCTGCAGCAGTGTGTCGCAGTGAGCTTGTCGCAGGTATGACGCACATGTTTTAGATTTATGCTCAATATTGAAGCATGGTCTGTGCTATGTTATTCCAGAACACAAAAGGGGAAACTCACAAACTAGCTGTGGGTCTAGATACGGTAGAGGGGGTGAAAAATGGGGGCAAGTTTGTCCTACAACGGAGGGACATGAGGGCAGAAAAGACCGGGGATCCAGGTGGAAAAAGGGTCCCAGCGTTCTCGCGCACCTCGCTCTTCTAGCTGGTCCAACTTCACGGGTCGTTTTCTGCAATCGAGGTCATACAAACAAAACAAACCAGTAAGATACCAAGGAGGAAATGCGGATGTAGATTTGACCAATCAGAGGCCTCCGGTCTGCGCTCACCTACAATTTGGGTGATGTGCACCAGAGTGTCTGCAGAAGGGGCGGGTACGTCCCTGCGTTCACCACGTCACACACGCAGACGACCTATTTTCAAAGTATAAATCAGCCTTAATTTTTTACATTTTATCTTAAAAAAAAGGTTCATTTCAGATTTACTTTCCCTTTGCTTTCTCATGCTGCATGAATAAAACAATCACAGTGCCCCAGTACTAATAATTTGGTATAAACTGTTCCATATTGGGGATGCAGACACAGAATCATGTTTAAAGGAAGCTGATTTTAATCCTTTGTAAAATAAGAAGTTGTGTTCATGATCATGAATGGATGATTTAATTATTAATTACAGTTTTATCTGCATAGGTTTATATATATATATATATATATAGTCAAATAAATAAGTTAACATTTTTATTTTTTACTGCTTCAACTTTGAGAGCTGCAACGGTTTGCCTCATGTTTTTACATCTATTAATCTGGTAATCAGGAACTGTGTGGTGTGGTAGCGTGCAAACATGAGTTAATTCTTTAAGATCTCATAACCCATCATTTTTTTGATGTCCCTCTGAAAGGAGAAAACATTTGATTATGTTGTGATTAAAATCAGTAGAGCAACATTGTCAGTGTTTGTTGTCAGGTTCCTCTCAGTAACTTCTCTTTGGTAACAGCTTTGTTGTTTCCCCGAATTGATGGATTTTGTGTAGCATGGTGCAAAAGCCTTTTTCTTTTCTTTTTTTTTTTTTATAGAAGTAGTTCAGGAGGTCAGCAGGTCAGTTCATTTACCTACCAACATCCTGGCTTAGCCTTGCATGACTGTGATGTCACTACCCTATAAACAAGGTGAATGCAGGTCAAAGCAAAGGAAAAGGCTAATTTTGAGTTAAAAAAAATCCTTTATCGACACTTTAAAGTTGGAAAATCAAAACAATGAAGGTTTTAGTTTATTTAAAACGGTAAAAGTAGCATAAACTGGGCTTCCGGGGTTCAAATCTGTTTATATTTAAACTGTTTATATTTAAACTATTAGTGTATGAAAGGCCAACATGAAGTAATGAATGCAAAACTATGATTTGAAATGAAAAAGGCGATTTTAAATTTTGTTAAATGAATGAACCATATATTTTTATTTAGAGTGTTTTATGGCGATATCGCTAAATATAATGTATTACTAGGTAGATGGGGTCTAATTTAATCTCAGATCTTCTGTTTAGGCCTCACAGGTTTGGACATTTACCTCAGAAGCTTCCGGAAGGTGGATGAACCTTATAGACGGGCACCAATCTTTATCAAAGATGGGGGGGGGGAAGCCATTTTTGAAAGAAAGCCATGATTAGTCCTGCCTTTTGTTACGAGCCATGCAGGAAACACAGAAGACTCGCAGAGGAAGGAGTTCTGCTCACAGGAAATCCACTTTGAATTGGTTCTGTTCTGCTGAACACTGTTGTATCTGAAACTAAAGCGTTACAGATTCTGTACTCAAGTTTACTTAAGAAGTCAAAATGTTTTCCTTGCAAGGATTCATGGGTCGCTGAGTTGGACCTTTGTAGCTCTTCTCTCCGCTCCACGCTGCGCACTTCTGCTCGCACTCGGCCGTGGCCGTGATCCCACTGATGGAGTGGTTGTGTAGTGGGGGAGGTTGGCAGCTGTGTTTATCTTGGTTCTGCCTGTGATCGGGCCTTCAGACGTGTTTGTCCAGGGAAGCGGCGTTGGGGTCACGTCTGACTGCAGCGTGGGATATGTTTACCTTTCACCTCTTTCTACTATTGTTCCGACTCCTTTCAACTGTGAGTCACAACTTCATCGCTTGAGAGCGTTTACCTTTTGGAATATTTCCTATCGTGTCAAAGTTTTTTTAACTTCTATATGCTTGGAGGAGCAAAAGGCCAAAATGAGGATTCAATGTTGCAATTATGGGCTTCACTTCTAAAAGGTTCATGTTTCACAGCTTTTGTTTTCACAATTACATTGGAGTTTTTGGCAGGTTCATATAAGAGCTCTATAAGAGCTTTATACGCTAGTTACTTGTTACTTTTAGCTCAGCTTAGCTTTGTAATCCGCTGCTGCTGATTTTCTTTTTTGAAATGCAATTTCAACATGTAAGATAGTTGCCTTTAGGACTGAAATTGGTTTTAAAAATTTACATGGCTTTCTCCAAATGTGAGAAACTCAGAACAGATATTATTTGTAGTTTATAATTTTAATAAGGTGTTAGTTGTTGCCATGTGGCCAAGGAGTTCTCAAATCAGAGTAGTTTTTTCTTTGCGGCAAAAGACTCAACCTTAAACCTCTATTCCATAGCGAAAGTGTGAGACAAATCAAGACTCTTCATTTTTGTTGGGTTTTTGGGGTTTGTTTTTAAAAAATAAAATAGCTTTCCTTTTTTGGGGGGGCATTTTTATGCAGAAGTTCTTCTTTATTCTTTATAAGAATTTGAGGCAGGTGGTTCTACGCATTACTACATCAAGTCGCTTTTTAAAGTTATAAGGCTCCTTGAAATTAGTGTGAAAGTTATACAGAATTGTACTGATATTGAAGGATTTATTTTGCATTTTTGAATTCTTAAGTACCTTTAAATGCATGGACATTTGAATACTTAAATGTTTTAAAAAATTATGACTTTAAGCTTCAGTTTAAGGAGATGTTTGACCAAGTAACTTTTAATTGTAGTTGAGTAAGTATTGACTATAAGTATCAATACTTTTACTCAAGTACTAATGTTGAGTACTTTGTCCACCACTGTAAGCTGATCAAAGTGTAATAAATCTATACAACCTCCAGAGACAAACTTGATTCATTCTGGCTGTACAGAAAACACGCCTGTGTTCCAAAACACCTTAGAGCCCCATGCTCCCACCAAACAGGGAACAATGTTTCTGCATTATGCAGCGGGGAACGTCTGGGTAAAGATAAGTGGAACTAAAATAAGAGGAATCCTGGAAGACCTGTACATCCAAACAGGACAACAAACCTAAGCAATCCCTTCAGACGATGTTTGTCCAGCATCAGAACCAGATAATCTGCGGGATCAAATGAATAATTACCATGTTTTGTTGTTGTTCCTCTGCAGGTAGCCAATGAGACGTTCCACACAGACCGGCCTGACCTCTCAGAGTGTTTCCAGCTCTCTGTCCTGGCATGGCTGCCGTGCATCTTCCTGTGGGCGGCCTTCCCCATCTACGTCTACTATCTAAAGAGGAGCAGCCGAGGCTACATCATGATGTCCCTATTGAACAGGTTCAAGACAGTAAGTCGTTATTTGTCTCCTGTATCATATTTGATTTCATTTGTATAGAAGATAACTGCATGTTTTATTAATTGATTGTTGAATATTAGAAGTTTAGTTGTGAATAAAGAAGGTAAGAGGATTTCTGAATAGTCTAGTCCTGAGATTAGCTCAACATTTACTTTTTAAAACCTGCACCTCACTATAATTGGTTGATTAAACTGAAGATTAAATCTTTCTCTGATACATTAAATATGGCTGTGATATTCTAACCTTCACTGTTTATCCACATTTATACAACATGTCTTCATCTTTTATGAAAAGTGTGACTGGTGGGAATGCTGTGCTGAGGAAAAGACTTCCCCTACTTGCAGTCTGTGTGGTAATCTTACTGGTGAAGGCTATTTTACAAGATAAGGGACCTCCCAGAAAAACAAGAAGTGGAGAATTGTCCTTCTGTTAGAGCAGGCAGGCAGCAGCTCTGCTGTACGGGGTTACGTCCCTGCATACACATAAATCTTTTTATGGCCGACTGTTTTAATGAAAGGTTAGATTAGGACACTTCTAGGTAACCATGATTACTGTGTCCTTTTTTTAAGCAGAATAATGTTCAGTTAGACAGAATTGGATTGATTGAATGTATATAATATAGTAACCTTTCTGGAATTCATGATTTTTACACATGTCCTGGCTAACAGAAGAAGCTGGTTTCCTTTACGAAAGCTTCTCTCATCTCTGTGTCCCCTCTGGCTTAGATTTAAACTGACACTGACAGAGCTACGGCACGTACCGTCTGCATGAAAAGTGTCATTCTCAACATGGTTATCACTTGCTAAGGTCTGTTTAATTGATACACATGTGAAGTTTTTGGTTTCCTGCCCACTGGTCAGAGGTCGGAGCACTTCCACTCACCCGCTGATTTCTTATACAATCTCTGCTTATACAGCACAGTGTTTCTGATGGGGTGGGCCCACTAACTGCCAACCTTGCTATAAGGCAGGCCCTGAAGCACTTAAGCTTTTCTCTATAATTGGATAAGAAGTAGGAGTGTCTTTTACTCGCAGCTCAGTAAGATCCAACTCTGGTGATGTTTAGAAAAGCTTAGCTACCTTAGCTCAGTTTGTAGGTGGTTGTGACATATTTTCCAGCCCTGTCTTTTCCTGCTGGTGAGTTCGTTCACCTGTGCTGCTCTGGGTGGAACTCCAAGTGTGTTGATAAATGGATTAAAGTTGACATGAGAGAAACTAACAGTCTTAATTGTCCAGATTTATTCAGTTTAAAGCAACACTGGCAAGTACAAGGAATTTCTGGATTTCTACACCAGTTGCTCACTCTGGACTGAACAGAAGTCTTCTGATCTACATGTGGTTCCCTGTTGGCTTTTATATTTTTGTTTCACTCTTTGTTTTAGCTTTATTTATTAGTAAACCTAAGCACTTTTTTTTATATGAACAGCAACAAGACCGACTGATGGGAGGTGTGCCATTGAGCGTGCTTGCAATGAGTAAACAAGAGAGTAATAGAGTCAAGCAGAGGCAGCATTTCTGCAGTTGAGAGATGTAAAGAAGTGGAAAAGTGCTTGGATTGCAGTATGTTTAAGTTTAAGTTTGTGTTTAATAAAGCTGAAGCTGGCAAACCTGCCAATTTGAAACGGGAATGATGAATTACTGCCAACAGATGTTTATGTCTGCCAATTGCACCATGAACAATAATAGATTTAGTGGCTTGAAAAGGACTAAGTAAACATTATCAGTATAAATGGTTGGTGAATATTGTTTCTTTTTTAACTTGGTCTTTTGTGTTTTAAATGTAGTTATAAGGCACCTTTAAAGGCAAATCAGGCGTGTCATTTTACTAAGGCCACACCTTCCCTTGTTGCAAATGAACCTACTTGAAAATTCCAATTATTGAGATGTAAGGAATTAAAAGTATTTATTATAAAGCCATGGTGGAATTTTGCAGTGATGCCCATTTTAGAGGTACGGAAGAGTATTTAGGGCCACTGAAAAAAAAAAAGTAAACAGATTTTTAAAATATGAGAGAATTGTCAGAATTCTGACTTACACTATATTGCCAAAAGTATTTGCTCACCTGCCTTGACTCACATATGAGCTTAAGTGACATCCCGTTCCTAATCCATAGGGTTCAATATGACGTCGGTCCACCCTTTGCAGCTAGAACAGCTTCAACTCTTCTGGGAAGGCTGTCCACAAGGTTTAGGAGTGTGTTTATGGGAATTTTTGACCATTCTTCCAGAAGCGCATTTGTGAGGTCGCACACTGATGTTGGACGAGAAGGCCTGGCTCTCAGTCTCCGCTCTAATTCATCCCAAAGGTGTTCTATCGGGTTGAGGTCAGGACTCTGTGCAGGCCAGTCAAGTTCATCCACACCAGACTCTGTCATCCATGTCTTTATGGACCTTGCTTTGTGCACTGGTGCACAGTCATGTTGGAAGAGGAAGGGGCCAGCTCCAAACTGTTCCCACAAAGTTGGGAGCATGGAATTGTCCAAAATGTCTTGGTATGCTGAAGCATTCAGAGTTCCTTTCACTGGAACTAAGGGGCCAAGCCCAGCTCCTGAAAAACAACCCCACACCATAATCCCCCCTCCACCAAACTTTACACTTGGCACAATGCAGTCAGACAAGTACCGTTCTCCTGGCAACCGCCAAACCCAGACCCGTCCATCAGATTGCCAGATGGAGAAGCGCGATTCGTCACTCCAGAGAACGCGTCTCCACTGCTCTAGAGTCCAGTGGCGGCGTGCTTTACACCACCGCATCCGACGCTTTGCATTGCACTTGGTGATGTATGGCTTGGATGCAGCTGCTCGACCATGGAAACCCATTCCATGAAGCTCTCTGCGCACTGTTCTTGAGCTAATCTGAAGGCCACATGAAGTTTGGAGGTCTGTAGTGATTGACTCTGCAGAAAGTTGGCGACCTCTTCGCACTATGCGCGTCAGCATCCGCTGACCCCGCTCCGTCAGTTTACGTGGCCTACCACTTCGTGGCTGAGTTGCTGTCGTTCCCAAACACTTCCATTTTCTTATAATACAGCTGACAGTTGACTGTGGAATATTTAGGAGCGAGGAAATTTCACGACTGGATTTGTTGCACAGGTGGCATCCTATCACAGTTCCACGCTGGAATTCACTGAGCTCCTGAGAGTCTGCATGCCTAGGTGCTTGAATTTATACACCTGTGGCCATGGAAGTGATTGGAACACCTGATTCCAATAATTTGGATGGGTGAGCAAATACTTTTGGCAATATAGTGTATTTCCCGCAGGAGAATTCTGATTTTTTTTCCCCCCCATATTATACTAAAATTAAATGTAAAAATCGGTTAACTACTTTTTTTCAGTTGCCCTTATCCCCTTCCATACTACAATCTCTTCCTTCATGGTCAGAATTCTAAGATTAAAGTCAGAATTCTGAGAAAAAAAGTCACAATTTTGACTTTTCCCCCCATATTATATTGAAATAACATTTTAAAATAAGTTAAATTTTTTTTTTTTAGTGGCCCTGATCCTCTTCCGTATTGAAGGCACACAAAAAAAAAGCTTGTAGAAATATTAAAAGTGCCTTAGAGCAAGCAATGAGAAGATCAACATACGGTATGCAGTGTGAGAATATGGAGCTAAATAAGGGCCTCAAAGTTTGTGAAAAACATCTTTAAATGGAAAAACTATTTTGAAACTAAAAAAAATATTTGAAACTAAAAGGGTATTTTTTTAAAACTGAATGAAAAATATAAACAATTAAAAAGATGAAATCTCCTTTTTTAGATTCATTTTTTTTTTTCAGTTTGAATTTGTTTCTTTTAGTTTCAAACTGCTGTCCCCTCAGTATGTGGGCAGGAACTAGATGTACGATGACGACTAACAGCTTAAGCTCGGTTTATGCTTGACACATGTGAGAGGCCCGGACTCCATGTCTAGAGAAGCCTTTCTTTCCACATGAAAGCTAAAATGATATAATTTGGCTCGCCAGACCAGGCAGAGGCATCGAGCGTCAATCCTATTCTAGGTTACTCATCCAAGAGTACGCTGATTCACAGCATCAAAGTCTTCTGCCTTGGCCTGATCGCCAAATAACTTATTTTGTTTATGTCATTATCTGCTTCTGTCTCTTTGAACCCCAGTGGGCCTCAGCAGATGGCCGTTCACAGTGATCCTGGTTCCGCTGGAGGTTTCTTCCTGTTAAAAAAAAGTTTTCCTCTCACTGCAAAGGATTGCAGCGAGTCAATGAGTCCTCGCCATCAGCTGGTTTTCCTTAGATAGAAATACTTTGAAGAATATGACTGTTACCTTGCAGCTTTTCTCTTTGCAAGTCTCTTCAGGTTAAAATCACGCTTTAGGCTCCTGAACAAAGTTTTCCTAGTTGCTGCTTTCACAAACTGTGGGAATTTGAAGTATTCTATGATTATGTAATTGGTTTTAATAATTCACATGCTTCTGTGATCTAAACTTATGATCCTGTTAGAATGCAGCTGCTGTCAGTCTGGCATTTTTTCTCTGCTTTACTTTGAGAGCTTCGGAAACAAGAAAGTTGGCTGAATATGCTGCACAATTTTGTCAATATCAGAATTTCTGCACTGTCATAATTTAACAGCCTTATTACATTTGATTCCTACCCTCACAGTGAATTTAAAAATACATTTTCAGCTAATAATCCTTTTTTTATTTATATTTACATTTTTTTTTTGTTTCAATTCTAAAAAAAATTTTTTTTAAGTTTTGAACTAACCTATTGGCACCAATTTAGACCTATACAGCTACTGCCAGTCTAGATATCAGGTGATGGTTCATTTGAACGTTAGCACGGGTGTTTGCATACATATATTTCCAACTGGAATGACAATAGAAAAAAAAAAATTAAAGGATGCGATTAGTTATAAACACCTGCAATATTTAAGATAAGATCTTTAGGGAGACATCTTTTATGAAAAATATTTCGGCTGAGGGCTGGAGTGTGGGTCCTCAGCAGCTCGGTAATAAAGTTTCACCAGGCAGGACCCTGAAAGTCAAAACCTGTTTTTTTTTTTTTAAGTGAATTAAACAATGATCAGATAAGCAGTCCAGATACACGAAGAGATGAAACTTCTTCTGTTTATTTCATATTTGACTTTTATTGCAGTGTTCTGGACCAAGTGCTGTTTAGTTGATGTTAATAAGAAGCAATAAATGTATAAATAATCATCTCTAGTTCCTTTTTGGAGGCCAACCCTCTTAGCATGGGATATTTCCTGAATGATAAAAACAATTTCCAACACTTCATAAGATGTGAATTGATCTAAATGCCTGAATTCCTTACCCGTAGATTTTTGTTTTTAAAGTCCAATACGTTGGACTGGAGGAGCCAAGCTCTTTATGAAATATTTTTTTGAGTTTCCACATGTCTTTCCCTCAACCAGACTCACTCCCAGAAATTAGACAAAATGATAATTTTTTTTACGCTCTGAAGAGTTAAATTCCAAACCCTCTCTGCTGCTCTGTAATGCGTTCGACTTTCTTCAGTTTTTATAGGATTAAATAGCTTTATTTTCTGTTCTCACTCTGCTCTTTCTTTGCCTCCCCAGGTGTTCGGCTTGTTCCTTTGGATCGTGTGTTGGACGGACCTTTTCTACACGTTCCACGAGCTGCGCTCCGGTAACACGCAGCCCCCCATCTACTTCGTCACCCCGCTGGTGCTCGGGATGACCATGGTAAGAAGGATCAGCCATACCCTGGTAGGATAGCTGCAGGTATAAAACACAAAGAGGAAAGTAGATTTCCCGCAGGAGGATGGGATTATTTGTTGTTTTTGCATATGAAAATTCAAAGTGCAAGAACATAGTGAGGGTTTGCTGTTACAGTAATAAAAGATCAGAGCAGCATCACTACCCCCATTGTTAACCCTGCCTGTCAATGTTTAGCCAGTAAAGTAACCGACATCCTTTGAACATCCTGAACAGGATAGCATGGGGGATAGTAAAGAATTTCATTTTGTCACCTGGTAAAAGAATCCTGTTTTAATAGGCGACACCTTAGCTTCTAATTGAAGCAGTAAATTAGAGCTCACAACTTAGTCTAGATCAGCTGCCGACCGCCTAAAAATACATTTTTCCTTCGTTACTCCATTCTATACTTCCTTTTTCAAGTCAAATAATTATAGTTGTTTTTAAACAGCTTTCACTTATAAATGATATTTAGTTATTCAATTCATAATTCTACGTTTTTTGAATTTATTGAATGGGAAATTCTATTAATTCATTGTACATTTTACTGTTTAATAGTTTATATAAATAAATATTACATCTACTTATTTTCCATGTTTTTTATTTCATAGGACATTCATATTTATGTGTTTCATGTTGTATTTAGGCCCTGAATATACCTCAATGAGATCCAAAGCCTCGCTGCATACTGTAGAAATGTCTGCTTTATGTTTTTTTTTTTTTTTTTGCAGAAAACCTGAATGCTTCATAAAGGATAAATAGGTCCATACAGATTATCAAGTGGGAAGCATTCCCACTTATTGTTTTTCTGTTTCTCTTTATTATTATTATTATTATTATTCCACTTTCCGTACGTTTTTCGGACTCTTTCAACTCCTTCATACTTCATCCGATTTCAACAAATTTGGTATCAAAACGTTCAGCTTCTTCTGGGCTAGTGTGCTATGACTTTTGGTAACTTCAGCTATTATACTTTTTTAAATATTTAGCTTTTTATGACTTTTTTTGGCCCATTGAAATACATGTAAAACTTCAAAAATTCCACTAAATCTTCAGCTACTTTGCCCTTTAACTACTTCAGCATACTTTCAGCTAGAAACACCATTCAACTTTTAAAATGTTTCCGTATCTTTCTGCTATTACTGTTTAACTCGGCTTTCAGCTAACTTTTACAGTTTTGCTTCAGTGAAGCTTCAAACTTTTAAACAATTTTTACAGATTTTCAAATTTATAATGGAAGTCTATGGACGGAATGTTCAGCAGCTAGAGTGTGCCACTCTAGCGTTTTCAAACATTTCACTCATGCCGAACAGCTTCAACTCACTCGCTCATTTTTTACTCTATCTAGATAAATTTAACATCAAAACGTAGGGATTTTTGTCAGGATTCAGGAAATGTAACTCTCATCTGTGTGGCATTTACGGTTTTCCGACAGTTTGGCCCAGACCACGAAGAAGTCCACACTTCCCCAATAGAAATCCAATGAGAGCTCTCTGAAAATCCGAACTGAAAATTCAAAACAACAGACTTTTTCGTATCGCTCCCATTTGGGCACCGTTCGATGTAGCAACATGAGCCTTGCTGAAGTTGTTCCTCAGACCTTCCTAGCACTCACATTGAAGGAAGTGTGTCGATATCTTTTATCGTTTAGCTAGGAAAAAGGTTTGTTCGGGGGTAACAAATCTGTCCGAACCTCAAAATCAAGATTTTGACAATTATACACTTTTTTACATCGTCACCACGCCTAGACCAAATATTGTAGAAATATGAAAGTTACACCAGTTGTAGTCCAAAGATGGCTGATGCTCACGGTGAAAGAATTTTTTGAATACCTATTACGGTTTTGGCTCACTGGTCGTTTGTTCGGAGGGAAAGTTTTGCTTTTGAGAGTTCTGCTCTACCGTGGAACTCCATGTTATTCAATGAGACCAGCAGGATTTCTCAAACCTTTTTATTCCTCCTTCCCATTAAGGTTATGAATGAGCTACAGCCATGAAAGTTACCCCAATTGGAGACAAAGGATAGATGTCGCTTAGACTGAAAGAATTTTTTAGATACCATTTACGGTTTGTCTTCAGCACTCGTTTGTTCGGAGCTGATAATCCCATTCAAAAAAGCCTAAGAACTAAGGAACGAAAGTGATGCGCGTTTCTCTCTCTCACTGACAGGCTCGTTAACGTCGTCAAGGTAACCGTGCTTCAAAGAGATTTTACCTCCACCACTTTAAACAGCACATTTTAATCCAATGGAGGGAGACAACACTGATTTAACATTAGGAAGTGGATACAATATGACTACTGGCCATAACCCTTCCCTTCACATGCAACCCTGATAGACTTTCAAAATAAGACTCCGGGGACCCTTCAAAATAAAAGCTCCTACATTAAACTCATATTTTTTTCCCAGCATATGGGTCAACATTATGATCCGAACTCAACCACTTTTTTAAAATTAGACTCTAGGGGGGTTTTCAAAACACACCCCACAGCAAATTTCAAAATAAAAGCCTCCCATTGCCGCTTCATCTACTGCCCTAATAACAGGGGAAAAGAGTGATTTAAGGATTTGAAAGTCATCAAATATCACTGCTGGGTCTGACCACTTTACTCAACACACAACCATGCTAGACTTTCAAAATAAGACTCCAGTGACCCTACAAAATAAAAGCCTCTATATTATACTTGTGTATTAATTGATGCAAATGGCTCAGCATTATGACCCAAACTCTACCAGTTTGTTTCTATTAGACTCTAGGGACCTTTTCAAAACATACCCCAGAGCGAATTTCACAATAAAAGTCTCCCATTTACGCTCTAATACAGCATCTACAGGTGCTGGTCATAAAATTAGAATATCATGAAAAAGTAGATTGATTTCAGTAATTCCATTTAAAAAGAGAAACTTGTATATTATATTCATACATTACATACAAACTCATATATTTCAGATGTTTATTTTGTTTAATTTTGATGATTACAAATGACAACAAATGAAAATCTCAAATTCATCATATCAGAAAATTAGAATATTGTGAAAAGGTTCAAAATTGATGGCCCCTGGTGCCACACTCTAATCAGCTAATTAACTCAAACCACCTGCAAAAGCCTTTAAATGGTCTTTCAGTCTAGTTCTATAGTCTACACAATCATGGGGAAGACTGCTGACTTGACAGTTGTCCAAAAGACGACCATCGACACCTTGCACAAGGAGGGCAAGACACAAAAGGTCATCGCTAAAGAGGCTGGCTGTTCACAGAGCTCAGTGTCCAAGCACATTAATAGAGAGGCGAAGGGAAGGAAAAGATGTGGTCGAAAAAAGTGTACAAGCAAGAGAGATAACCGCACCCTGGAGAGGATTGTGAAACAAAACCCATTCAAAAATGTGGGGGAGATTCACAAAGAGTGGACTGCAGCTGGAGTGAGTGCTTCAAGAACCACCACACACAGACGTATGAAAGACATGGGTTTCTGCTGTCGCATTCCTTGTGTCAAGCCACTCTTGAACCACAGACAGCGTCAGAAGCGTCTTGCCTGGGCTAAAGAGAAACAGGACTGGACTGCTGGTGAGTGGCCCAAAGTCATGTTCTCTGATGAAAGTAAATTTTGCATTTCCTTTGGAAATCAAGGTCCCAGAGTCTGGAGGAAAAGAAGAGAGGCACTTCATCCACGTTGCTTGAAGTCCAGTGTAAAGTTTCCACAGTCAGTGATGGTTTGGGGTGCCATGTCATCTGCTGGTGTTGGTCCATTGTGTTTTCTGAGGTCCAGGGTCAACGCAGCCACATACCAGGAAGTTTTAGAGCACTTCATGCTTCCTGCAGCTGACCAACTTTTTGGAGATGCAGATTTCATTTTCCAACAGGACTTGGCACCTGCACACAGTGCCAAAGCTACCAGTACCTGGTTGAAGGACCATGGTATCCCTGTTCTTAATTGGCCAGCAAACTCTCCTGACCTTAACCCCATAGAAAATCTATGGGGTATTGTGAAGAAGAAGATGCAATACACCAGACCCAACAATTCAGAAGAGCTAAAAGCCACTATTAGAGCAACCTGGGCTATCATAACACCTGAGCAGTGCCACAGACTGATCGACTCCATGCCACGCCGCATTGCTGCAGTAATACAGGCCAAAGGAGGCCCAACTAAATACTGAGTGCTGTACATGCTCATACTTTTCATGTTCATACTTTTCAGTTGGCCAACATTTCTATAAATCCTTTGTTTTTATTGGTCTTCAGTAATATTCTAATTTTCTGATATGATGAATTTGAGATTTTCATTTGTTGTCATTTGTAATCATCAAAATTAAACAAAATAAACATCTGAAATATATGAGTTTGTATGTAATGTATGAATATAATATACAAGTTTCTCTTTTTAAATGGAATTACTGAAATCAATCTACTTTTTCATGATATTCTAATTTTATGACCAGCACCTGTATTCACCCAATAACATGGAAAACAAGTGATTGCATATTTAGAAATGGATTCTATATCACTGCCTGGCATGACCCTTCCCTTGACACACATCCATGATAGACTTTCAAAATAAGACTAAAGGGACTCTACAAAATAAAAGCCTCTTTCTTACATACACTCATTCATTGTGCCATATGGCTTGTAGCTATGACCCAAACTCAACCAATTTCTTCAAATTACACTACCAAGGCCTGTTGACCCCACACCTAAGTGCATATTTCTTAATCAGGTTCTAAGATTTACACTCTAATAAAGCATCTGCTAACCTCATAACATGCAGCCTAAGCCTGCCAACGGTGCTGTCATCAACACAGTGGCTCATAACATGCAGGTTAGATTTTTTGATAAATTCAGCTCCTTAAATTTTATTAGCTCTCATTTTATAAGCTTCTCTCTTTGTCCTTCCTGTGCTTCTTATGGTCAGTCTTGTACTTTGGTTTGTGGATTTTCAAGCTTCTAAGGATGACACTGTTTTCTCTATGCTGATCAACTGACACATTTTAATTAATTTAAATTTTGTTTTACAAATCTTTACTTTTCCACATATGATTTCAGACTTTAATACTTATTATACATATTCAACATTTATCTTCCTTTCCTTAAGCTACTAATTTTTTTCTTCAATTAGTTAAGATTCAACTTTTTTACTGTTTATGTTACCGTTTTTGCTATTTTATAAAATTTCTGCATATTTTTTCCAATTTTGGCTTGATTCTGCTCTCTTTCTGGAAAGGCATTTAGCTTTTCTGCTTGCTGTTAATTGATAACATGTCTGCCATGTTTCTGCTGTTGGCTTCAGCTACTTTTAAGAAACTAATTAGACATTTTTTGCTATTCCATACCATTCCAGCAGCTTTGACTTTAAATTTCAGCTTGTTTCTGCCATTTTAACCTTACAGCTTACAGTTTAGCGTACAGCATTCACACTGCATTTTCGCAGGAAATGCAACTTTTTCTAGTTAAAATTATTTTCCATATCTTATCATTTATGAAAATAATGAACATTTTTACTTTCTATTTCAATCTAGAGGATAACTGTAGATCGATCCTGCTAAAAAAACAGGGAAAACTGCTAAAAAGCTTTAGTTATTTAGTACATCTGGATATATTTGTATATCTATGAATCATTATCAGGAGGAAGTTAAAGGACACGGCAGCCATCACTGCATCCTGGACTCCCACTGGCTGCATTAATGCAGGATTCATGTAAAATGGTTTGGGATGCAGAAATAAACCTGGATGCATAAAAACCTCATTTTATTTCAGTGTTAAATTCTGTTTAAAGTAACAGATTATAATTAAAAATGTCTCTGGACCTTTAGTGGTTGTTGATTTTCTTTATTTGGACCCCGCTGATTTTTAATTGGTTACCCCCTGTCATACATGATAAAATTATAAACAATAAAAACCAGACATTTAATCACAGGATAAAAGCTAAGTTACGTTGATGTGTATTCACTTTTTTAATGGTAAAATCAAGGTCCAGCTCTCAGTCATGAACTGATGTAAAAGGACAAGGTGCAGAGATATACAAAAGCAATCAAAACCATAAAAAATATATATTTATATCTCCTCTAAAAATGCTTTCAGGGAGTATTAAAAAAATGCAACAAAAAGAAAAAAAGAGTTGCTATAAATATTTGAATAAATCTCCATATACTTTCTAATTGTCTACCATGCAAAACACTTTCATCTAGTATTACTGCCGCGGTGTAAGCGGCATTATTTTACTACTTTTATTAGCAGGCAAACAGCAACACAGCAGCAGTAAATCCATAAAAAAAACAAAAACAAACGGTCAGTTCAGGTGTTTTATAAAATATGTCATATATAGCATGGGACTGATCAATGGTCTATATACCAAACTGAAAGATTGTTGTTCTCTAATTCAATAAACACTTAAGATTTCAAAATAGAAAAAAATGTATATATTTTTTTTATTAACATGGATGCATAAAAACCTGCATTTAATTTCAGTGTTAAATTCTGTCTAAAGTAACAGATTATAATAAAAAATATCTCCGGACCTTTAGTGGTTGATGATTTTCTTTATTTGGACCCCGCTGATTTTTTTATTTGCTTACCCTGCTCTAGATAATAAAAACAGATGTATGAATCTGTTTTACAATATGCATTGTTTATATATATGTTTATAGCATTGTCATAGTAGATTTGTGAATGATCCAATTATCATTTTAGTTTAATATTGTATCCTGATTTGCAGCCGTGGATCATAACCAGTTTCAGTTTCTCTGTTGCTTTGATTTCAGACCCTCTGTTTTTAGCAGCAACAGAGCAGTAAAGAGCAGATAACCCATAAGCTGTACAAGCTCACAACAAATCCAGAAAATTTGTGGATTAGCGAGTCTGACCCCTTCGTTTGATGGAAAACAGATTGTAATCAGACGACCAACCCCGGCCGGAGTGCAGTTCACCTTACATGCCCTCAGACGCTCTGTTCCAGCTAATCTAACTCCATCTCTCCCTCTCTGTTCCTTCCCATCCCTCTCCCCCCCCCGCCCCCCTCCCCTCCTCAGCTGCTGGCCACGTTTCTGATCCAGTATGAGAGGTTACACGGAGTTCAGTCCTCAGGGGTCCTCTTCATCTTCTGGTTTCTGTCTGTGCTGTGCGCCCTGGTGCCTTTCCGCTCCAAGATCCTGAAGGTTTACGGCAAGGTAAGAACGCAGAAATCTGACCGCCACGCCACCCTCAGATGTCTGTCCTACCAGCTTCTTTTACTCCATCACATCTTTTTTTGTTCTTTGCTGCCCCTTACAAAAAATATGTATAAAAAAATCCCACTTAGATTTGGACACACTTGATCAGTTAGTGGTTCCTGTGTGTTTTCAGTGTGTTGCTTTTAGGAGCTGTGGAGTTTACAGTGAGTGGATATTTTAGAGGGGGCAGCTTAGGTCACCACTTAGCGCGGAGCAGATACCAAATAGTAGGCTTATTGTTCCTGATGGCCTTATCTTACCTCCCAGCATGCACCAACTCAGCTGCAGCAAACATGGCGAAACCTGCAGGATGCAAGACGGAACAACTGTGCTTCTAGAAGCATGAACATCAAATAAAATGAAACATAACTTGTGCATTAAAAACACAAGGGTGCATTGGCATGAGGTTTAATCCCACTGATGGAGCTGACTGAGTGCTTTGAGTTTTTGCTGCTAAGCTACTTGAGTTACAAGAGTTCCCTGGGAAACAAGCAGAAGGGCCGGTGACCTTCAAAGATTTCAAAGTTTGTTTTTAGGCAAAAGATTTGTACATGGGAACTAAAACACACAGACCAGAGTGAGCTTCACGGCAGAGGCGTAGCCAGAAAACTTTAAAAAGGGTTGCCAGGTAATAACCAATGTACACTGAGGGGTGGCTGAAAGCAGAACCTCAGGGTCAATCTACACTGTTCCAAAAGAAAAATAAATAACCACAACATATATATTGTCTAAATAAAGACTAACTATACTTTCTTACAGCCTTTGCTAACAAATAGACACAAATGTTTTACTATCCATCCTGTCTAAAATAAAATTGTTGGCTTAAGATCTCCGGCGTACATCTCTTTTTTTGTCTTACTTACTTTTATCAAAAATCGTTCTGCATAAAATTAATATTAACATGTAATAAATATCTACATTAAATGGATTACTTGTTATTAAAGTAGTTATTTATCTTTGATTTCACTGGAGACTCATAGACTGAAGACTCATAGATGACTTGCAGAGACATAATTTTCTATTTACCCCATAAGACAAAATCTAGTCCTGAATAGAGCATGAATTCAGCATTATTTATCTTTAATGTTAGTATATTGCTGTGCAAAATTAACCGCATTGTTTTTGTTGTCAAGTAACTGTTAACATATGAGAAATAAAATATCATATATGTTAGAAATTTCGACCTGAGAGTATTACTGCTGCCAATTTTTAATTTTTAATACAGTATTACTGTATTAGAGGGAAAAAAATGGTAGGAGTGACCACAGGGGGGGCAAATGATTGGCTAAGGGTGGCCATAGCCACCCCTGGCTCCCCATCTAGATCCTCCCCTGCTTCACGGTATTCTGAAAAGTACGGATTTCCCAAATTTTCACCTGTGGGCACAGACTCATACACATACGGGAATTGCACAGAGCTCCGCTCAATTCACATGATCTGATCGATATATGATGATATTTTGGCCGATATTTGTGTTTTGTCTCTTTGGCATTGGCCACCTTTATTGCATCGACCAAACGTAAATATTCTGTTTGATTTGCTTGGTAATGTTTCTCTTTTGGTCAAATTAAGATTTGTGCAATTTATTATCATTTTTTAAATTCTTTTTTTTTTATTCTTGCAACTGATATCAAAACAATCACCATCAGCCTTAAAAATACGGCATCGGTCAAACTGTAGTTTGACCCTTTTACCTCAATAGTGACCACACAGCGCTGTACCTTTAGCTTAATAAATTTTCCTCATTTTCATTCTTGACAAATAGCCTGACTCAAATAGGATTGGATTAAGAACGTCTGTTCATCAGCCATCAAATCACAGCTATGCAGCGGTGGAGAAATTATGATGCGTATAATATGGTATAAAAAAAAAAAAAAAAACCCATGATCAGCAGTAATCATGAACCTGGATGCTCTGTCCCTGCATTCAAAGTTTGCTCTCTGCTCATGAGGCAGGAGCGCTTCTGCTCACCTCAGGGTGAATCCGAGTCAACGAAGCCCTATTTACACTACCCTCTGAAAACCGATCTGTGCCAAACTTGGATCAGTGACGATCTACAGTACTACTGCTCTCTAGAGGTAAACAAGCAACCCAACATTGGGGCGCTGTAACATTCAGGAATTTTCTCTGAGAGTCAGGTGAAGAAGGCAGCCATTGGTGAATTTACTTGACAGAGTCGTCTTTTGGGAAATGGATACGACAAATGATAGTCTAATCAGGGCTCACAGACGCAGGAAACAATGACAGATTTTGAGGTTCATCAAACTGCTGAGAAGAATCATCACTGGAAATGGTGTGGCACGGTAGGGAAGCTAGTATATTTATGAATGTCTGACATTTCCTCTTTACGGAGTCTGACTGTAAGGAGATGACGCAGTCTGCTCATGCGCTCTTTGTTATCTGTGAACCGAGCCTCAACTGAACCATGCTAAGACCTACTGATGAAGTAGTACCAGTTTAGCGCGGTTCAGTTGTGTCTGTCAGTTGTGCGTGCCATTTACACTCAACAGTTATCTCAGTTACCGTGCTCGGACCGATCTTGGCACGGTTTCAAAAGGGTAGAGTAAATGGGGCTAGAGTATTAAGGGCTCGGGGCGGGTGGTCCACTTTTTTATAGCACTGACTTGAGGTCCTCAAACAGACCGTTTTCTCATGTATCTGTGACGAAAAAATGATCTATATGGCATTGTGTGGTTGTTATGCTCAAAAACTTCAGTATATCAGACTAATTTCAGCGTTACTTTGACAACGTCCGTTGACTGAAATGTGCTAGACTCCGATATCAGTCAATTACACTAATACACTAATTTCTCCTTAGCATGTCAGAGTAATTTCAGTGTAGCTGTGACCAGGGACGGAAATGGAAACCCGGTTCCTGTTCAGAACCGCCTCTGTGTGTTCCAATTCCATGGCACCGTTTATCAGCTCGCCTAACGGTTCTCTTATCGATTCCAGGCAGCACCAGAGCCGCTCTGGGCAGCACGACTTATGTTACGCTTTTTTACCCAAGTTACGCACACGGCATTCAGTAAGCAAGTATGACGTGACCAGGCGTAAGTCTAGAAAAGCAAAAACAAAAAAAAGGGCGTCCCATCGGGTAAAGTGATTGAAAGTTTGGCTTCCTTTTAAGGAAGATTAAAGAGGGCATCAAGGCGCTTTGCAATCGTTGAAAAGTGGCAATTATATCCATGGGAGGAAATACATCCAACATGCAGAAACAGCTGCACACACAACATGGCATACATTTTAACCAATGCTGTGTTTTTGATGCTTCCAGGCAGAAGCTAAAAACATGACCAGCATAGTAGGTAACTCTGGTGGGAAGTAGCTAGTTGTGCTTAATGTGGTCCCTAGTAAATCATGACATTTCTGGAAATAAACCAGTTTCCTACCTCTCTTTGGGATTATGAAGGGAGTGTGCCTTTGTCGTTAATCCAGCCCTTTATTGCTAGCATGTTTAATTAGAACTACTGGTAGCTGGAATTCTTACATGATTCTAGCTACTGCAATGGATGTAAAAAAAAAACATGCTACGAAGTTGCTCCACAGTTCAGGGAGCGAGAGAAAGGTGACGCTCGTTTATTTAAATCAGGGAGAGATAAGTTTATTTCCCAATATTGTACATTAATGTTTTTTCATTAAACAGACTCAATAAGAGAATCATTAAGAGAATCGATAAGGAATCGAATCGTTTTACAGAATCGTTAAGGGAATCGGAATCGTGAAAATCTGATCGATTCCCAACCCTAGCTGTGACAACTTTCAGCTTATCGGTTCAGAATGTTAAAATGAGCTGATAAGAACCCTGCATTTTAAAAACACAGAGTTGTTTTCTCATTCTCAAAGTAATACGTATTTAGCTGCAGAACTTAAGCATTTATAGCAGCACTTTGTTTGCTTTGAAGAGCAGCAAAATGTAAAGAGAAAGAGAAAAACAATCCAGAAGAGGTGAGATTAGAGCTTCTCACCCAGACTGGACAGACTTCTCTGTCTTCATTCTTTATATGGGTGGAAGTTAGAAACCTGTTGGTTACATATAGCAAGATATAGCTGTAGGTTTAGTCTTTAAAGTCAATACAATAGGGATGTTTGCACACCGTACTACTGAAGTAAAGACCAAAACTTTAGTAATTACTTAAAGATTTAAGTCACCTGTTTGACAGATGAAACCGTGTCTTGAACAAAAGAATCGTGAGAAAAAACAGGTTTTAAACAGGATATCACTGCTTTGCCTCTTTGGGTGTTGAAATAGAGAAAGAGGAAAAACGGATGATTGCTCTTTTTGTTCATTTTTAAAGGAATACTATAATCTCTAGAAGGAAAATAGTTTGCTGTGTTTTCGTTGCAGGTTCAGGCAAAAAACCAAACTGCTCTAGTTATGGTTGACCCTCACTGTTCGCACTAACCAGAACATTTTGGAGCATTTCAAAGAACCCAGAGAAAAAAGGAAATAGCTCTGAAATGATTCACCATCACAGCTAAAGCTTATGTTTTGGCTCATTACAGTGTAGGTATTATCCAGGTCAGTGTTGTAACCACTGCAGGACATTTTACCGCTTTGCTCTCTGCTTTTATGTGAAGCTTTTCAGCTTGTGTTAAAATACACATATGATTGGATTATGCTCCGTAATCAACGTAAGCTTTACCATCCGTTTAATATCTTTATCAGGGTAATATTCTCAGGAGTAAACAACAAATAGTTCGAATAGTATGGGTAGTGTGGGATTTTTACCGTAGATACATACAAAATCGAATGTTTTCAAAACAGAAAATATATTTCTATTACTGCTACAATTACAGTTGATTCTTATAGTTTTTGAAAAAAGATTCATGCAAGAGGTGGGTTTGATGATATCGTCTGATTTCATGTTTAGGAATCACGTAGTCAGTCAGATGTTATGTGAAAAATTTGGTATTTGAAAGATTCAGATACAATTGGACAAATAAATAACATTCGTACATGGAAAGTCATTTTATGCAGAAGGAAGATTTCCAAATTTGTTTCTTAACATAAAACTTATGAAACCAATCCTTTCAGTGAGAATTGTAGAAAATTCCTAACAGGATGATCTTTTAATATACTGTATACTGTAGGCCTTCAACAGGGGGTCTGTGACCCCCTAGGAGGTCCACGGAGTTACTGCATAGGGGTCACGAAGGTTTTGGTTGATAAGACTTTTAAAACATTTTGATTTTATTTTATTCCACCTGTAATTTTTTCCAGTAATTGAAATGTCTTTAAATCCACTTTAACATGAATTCAACATACAGTACTGTAGTAAACAGATAAATGGAGGCAGAAGATGTCTTTCAGTCATCAATGCACACATTCAGAGACACACAGGAGCTCTTTCAAGCTGGACACCGTTTCATTCACAACACCTGTCCCATCAACCAGGAATTAGAAATACTTTAATAATTCCAGGGAGAAATTACTTTCATTACATTACTCCATCTGTAATAGAGTCACTATAGGAGTAGTTTGATATAACACAATTTCATACAATATATATAAGTTAGTCATACAGTGTGAGTTTACAGCTCATGATTTTTTTCCGACGCTCTCATGCGATCTACCTGCTCACACTGTACAACTCACTAGGTTGCAACACAATTTTTAAACCCTTTCTTCATCTCTGCGCTGTGTTCAGAGCTAGCTTGCTACATCTACTTCCTGTTTATTACAGCCAAGTTTAATCTAAATGTAAGACCACATGATGCTTTCAACTGGCTGGTTAATTCATGGATGAAGGGATAAAAGGCGTCTAATTCTCATTCTCTTTTTTGACATTTTAAAAGTTTACTCAAAATTAGCACTAAACTTAGGTGTTAGTACAGCTTGCTTTCTGTTTTTGGTAAATGCCACTAGATCTGTTCCAGCTCTGCACGTTGTTTTCAGTTCTTCTTCTACCTGGCTGACATCATAACATTTTATTTGATGGTGTCACTACCCGATCCATCCCGTAAGCACAATCCGTTCTGCGCATTCAGTTCATTTTCGCATGTGCGTCCAGATATACATCTGGGTCGTGCTCGATTTTATTTTGTTAAAAATACCTGAATCCCCAAAAAAAGTAAACATACTAAAACACAATGTGCTAAAGGTTAATAATGTATTTCCTGTGAAAATAAATGCCTTAAAATCCTCTCCACTCGTCTCTGCCCGATCTGCACCGGAAATGGGATCCTGCGCTACTTCCGGTGGCTAACTTTTTCGGCTTTGGATTAATACGTAAATCTAGTCTTTTTGAGTTTTACGTTTTCGTTTAATTTTAACATTATGCTATATAGTGCGTAATCTAAAGAGCAAAACAACTAAAATGCAGATAAACATGGTTTAATCATCGGACTGCTCTGAGCATGTCTGATGATGACATCAGAGAAGCAGTTTAACGAAGAAAATGTAAAAATAAAAAATGTCTCACAAAAGTCATAGAATTTTTTTAAAGATGTGTATTAGCATTATTTAGTGAGTTAAGGATAGAAATAAGTAGTTTTAGTACCATAATTACGTTATTTATGGGATGTATATCTGTTTGTGCATGCGCAGGACGGATCGTGCTTCCGGGACGGATCGGGTAGTGAGAGACGGGTCATGATCCCAACATCTGTCTGAACTTGCTTCCTTTCTTTCTTTTTGTGTCTCAGGATGTGCCAGATAAGCTGCGTTTCACCACCTTCTACATCTACTTTGGTCTCATTCTCTGCGAGCTCATCCTCTGCTGCTTCAATGAGAAACCCCCTCTTTTCTCCAACGTAGTCACTGACCCGGTGAGTCCCACATGCCGCAGCGCTATGAAGCATGTTTACATCTCATGTACTCATGCTGACAGCTGTTTGGCTCTGTGAACAGCTGTAATTCACTCTGCTGCTGCTCCACCCATTCAGACTATTTAGTTTGAGGAGCTGCTTACAGAAATATGTGCCTCTTTCAAATAGTCTGACTTGTTTTTCGTTCCATCTCTTGATTCCTTCCCAGAATCCATGCCCTGAAACTACAGCAGGTTTTTTGTCTACTGTTACCTTCTGGTGGTTCACAAGGTGAGTGACAGGTGTCCTGATGCAGACTTGTGCTTGTCATCACTGTTTACTTTAAACAAAAATCATCAGAGTAGTTTAGCTTTATTTAATAGCTTTTTTTCCTCAAATGGGGCAAGTAAAAAGTCAGAGTTAAAAGCTAAACCATCTGCTGAGCCAAACGGTGCTGAAATATTTACCTTTAGTCCAACGGCATGTTTGATTATTCTCTCAAACAGCTATAGACAAACTTCACTAAAACATTATTAGAAATGCAGCTGAACTGCTTGAACCTTCGAATGACTAATTTGATATGTTTCTATGAGGCACAGAAGGACAAATTAATCTGTTGTGATGTTTTAAAAATCTTTAAAACATCTCTAACAATAGAAAGGTTCACTCTGACTCGTTTCCCCGAACTTGATCAATTCATTTAAATTCAGTTTGTTTCTATAGCGCCAATTCACAACACGTCATCTCAAGGCACTTTACAGTTCAACCTGATCATACAGTCAGATTGATTCCAAGTTTTCTATCTCAGGAAAACCAGTTGAATGCATTGACTCATTGTCTCGAAGGCAATCCCTCACACTAAGCAAGTATGTAGCGACAGTGGAGAGGAAAAACTCACTGGGGTTCAAGGAGACAGAAGCAGAGATCCAAAAGGCAACTGTCCAAGAAACACACAGCCAGGCAGACAAGCTCCCATGTCAGAGGATCAAGAGAGCACATCACAGAGAACCAGGACTACACTGAAAAACAGGCCAATCTCGAACTTTAGTTCGTTTATGAGTTGTTGGCTCTGATTTCTCTTCCTGCTCTTGAGGAATTGATCACGACTTCTTAATGTGGTTAAAAACCTGCAAAGCTAGCTGGCTTTGGATTCAAAATCTCCATTCTTTGGTGCATTTTCCTGCTGACATGTTGCTTCAACATGATGGAAAATACAGCCAAGCTTTCTGAATTGTTAGAGGAGGTTGTCCATGGAGAAGCTAATGATCTCACTCCTTACTTATGGCTCATTTTATTCACAACAGTAAATAAATCACACCTCCTTGAATGATTAAAAAAAAAAACTGCACAGATGGATTCCATCAAGATGCTCCAGTGTTTGTACAACTCATGACTCATGGTAGCTCTTAACTTATCTGGACTTGTTATAATTTTGGCCTTTTAAACAATCCAAACAGAGGATGCTTCAGAGAAGTTTGGATCAGTCATCTTTGCACTTCCTAAAGAATTTTACTCTGCATTTTGTATAAAACTGCAGTTGAACTTACCTGATACCCTTCTGGTACCAGAGCACAATAGAAACCAGTTCAACTCTCTCATTGGTTAGATTTTAAAAAGGTAAATTGTAATAGAAGAATAACTTTCTTAAATATATGACTAGGTATAAAGTATTTTTAATCAGATTTATGAATTTGGTTTTTATACCTTCACTTAGAAACAATTGTTCTTTAATAATTTCATTATAAATGTTCCATTAGAAAATACTTTTCAAATTGTATGATTTAAATGTTACATTAGATATGGCTGGCTCTCTTTTTCAGCGACTCCAGGTCCTCCATAGCTCTGAATCTGCTTGAGTCACTAAATCCGGTAACTCGGAGACAAGTATCTGCATGTTTGCAGTGAATGAGTAGAAGGACATCCGGAGTACAGGAAAATGTTTCTGCTCTCAGTTACTATAGGGGAATTAATCCCAACATTCCTGTGTTAAAGAGCAGTTTTCTGTATATCGGTTTATATGTCTGGAACCACACCAACTCTCTGCCTTTACAAGGGGACTCTAGAACTCTAGAAGTGGAGACAATCAAGGGGTTAATATCACCACTTACACAACAAGTACAGGTATAACCGAGAGGAAGATCAGTGTGAGGGTGAATACAGAGATCAATTAAGCAAGAAGCCTAGTTAAGATAACTGCAATCCTCTATCACCACAGCTCTGCCTTATTTACACCATCAGGAACCATTCAGATTAAATATGCATCTAATTACCAGAAAAAATAGAGCATAAAGCATGAAAATGAAATATATCACACTCACCAGAGATGCTGATTATTTATAAACAAATCCACCCTTCTGTCTTTGTGCAGGAAGTCTTATGCGACATTCACACCTAAAGTAGCAGGAGCGGGAAAAACGTGCTTTTTCATTTTTGATGCTTGTACAAGCTGAAGCATCTTTGCTGCTCTAGCTGCGCGGTGGAAAAAGTGGGTCTGATGCGCGTTGGGTGGAGCTACCCTATCCTTTCTTTGCCTGTAACAATGGCAGCAATATTTGCTGTGATCAGTGGGTAAAAAGTAGATTTAATGTATTTTTAAGTGAGAAAGTCCACCTGAAAGCTTCATCTGTGCATTCAGTTCATCAAGATTACCATCCAGCCTTCAAATATTAATTTCGCTGTTGAAACCCCCACATACTGGCTGTGGTCTGTCAGTAGGAATCCCATTCAACAGCAGCCTCTGACCCGGTTGTCTCTTCGCGGTTTGCCGCGGCGGCTCGAAGGAGTTTTTTATGTATGTAATCCAAACTGCAAGCACCAGGATAATAAAAGTGAACATGTTTTGCCAGCAGATTTCGGCATTTAAAGTTAATTTAGGCATGAATAAACTGTTTTAGAGGAGTGATCATAGTGATCTGCATCAGCAGTGCTGTGTCTGTCTCTCTGCAAGCTCCCAGATCAGTTTCTCTGATTTGTTGATGTGGCGCGTCTAGCAGAAAAAGTTACATTTTTCCAACACCAGCAGCAGAACGTTCCGCGTGTCAGATTCTCAGAAGCTCATGACGCGCTGCTCCTGCTGCTCCAAACGCGCTGCAGGACGTTTTGCTGCTCCTTGATGGCGTCAACCATTGACTTTGCATGTAAAATAGCTGCTCCTGCTGCCCTTGCTGCTTTAAGTGTGAACGTAGCATTAGTATCTCCAGTTATTATCATTCATTAAGGTAAGAAAAATTTAAATCTAAAATGCAGACTGTTTCTAGCTTAACTTGGCTTTAAACACTTTACTCTAACTGACCAATCAGAGGACAGAAAATGCTGTTCGCCCTGCTAGCTGGCCCTGAGGGGCAATTCTCAAATCTGGCTGGTTGAAGAAAATGTTCCTCACTAATATATTGTTAAGGTAACATCAGCCAGCACTGCTGATTCCGAAGACCCTGGTCAGATTTGATTTACATAGCAATCAAATCTGCACTAACCACTAAGGCCTAAATCTGATTGGACAAAAAATATAGAAACCGCATGAATATAACAGAGGCAGCGCAGCAAAGAGAAACGCTACAAAATTAAGAGAAAGGATTGTTTGGACTAAATTAATACAGTTGGAAAGAAGAAAATTAAAGTTAAGGTGATGAATGTAGGTTAGTGTTTCTGATTGATATTCACCGTATTTCAGCCTAAAGTGAAAAATGCTTGGATATAATAATATATATCTAAACCATTCATAGATACCTGTAGATGTTAAACAGTTTGATAGGTGGCGCTGTTTTCGTTTTCTCACCAGCAGTATCTGTTTTTTCTTGACTAGAAATAATTCCAAACATCCAAATTTGTCTTTTGTCAGACAGTAGTGCTGTAGCCTCTTTAAGCCAGCTGATTGGCAGTGCTCAAGAAAACTCGCTTAAACAATTTCAATTGTATCTCATCAGTATGTTTCCACTTGAAGCCCAGAGGACTCTAGAAACACTTTTACGCATTTTAAACCTTAACAATGGTGAATCTAGATACCGGTAGATTGCTAATTCTAGAGTCGATCACTGGATCAGAAACTAGATTGTAAAAATTTGTATATAATAAGTTGTTATATGGAATTTCATGATAATTTCAGCTGCTGTTTCTCTTTCCCAGTTTGGCCATCAAAGGTTACAAAAGGCCTCTGGAGAGCAAAGACCTGTGGTCTCTGAACAAGCGAGACAGCTCCGAGGAGATGGTGCCTAAACTGCTGAAGGAATGGGATAAAGAGCAAGCGAAGGCAAAGAGGTACGATCATGAAAGCTAAGGGGGAACCAGTGACCAACTCTGGCTTTCTGCAATATTTAAAAAGTATTTAAGGTTTAGGCACTCCTTAAACCTTTTATGGTTGGTGAGGCTACAACTATGTGTTTCATTGGGGTCGTTGGTGTAATACCAAAACTAAGGAGCCCAGAATTAACATATCTGGTTAGTGGATTTTTTTCCAGCCTTTTTTCAAATTTGATCATTTTTTTCAGTTCTTTTTTTTTTTTTTTATTGCTATTACACTGTCATAAGTACAAAGCAATGAAATTAACTATCTGTATTTAACCAATTCCCCTGGGCAGCTGTGGGCAGCCATTGTGCGGCCTTTGAGCAGTGTAGGGTTAAGGGTCTTTGCTCCGGGACCCAGAGTGGCTGTCTGCGTGAATGGGGCCTGAACTCAGAATCTCAGGATTCCAAGCTCTATGCCCTAACCACTAGGCCACACCCCCCTACAAATGCCATTAAAAGTCATTTAATTTGTTAACAGACTACATCTCTGTCTAATTTAATCCCTGTATGGATCATGCTGCTCTATGAAGACCTCAGAGGGTTGTTGGAGGATGTCAGTGAACCTGTTAAAGGCTTCCAGTGATGCGATTATAGTTTTTTTTCTTTTTTTTTTTTTTTCTTATTTTAACATTTAACTTTTTCTTTGTATTTTTAGTTGTTTACAAACACCGTATACATGAACACTTCACATTCATCCTAACATAACATAAAACCTTTGCTTGGGAATCATTTCTCTATTCCACCTTTGTCCATCTTGTTTATTCAGTTTTTTTTTTTGTCGCCGTCTTTTGTCTTGAATGTTGCCCATTTCATCCACTTTTCTTCCATTTCAGTTTGCTGAAGTCTCAAACGATGTGTCAGTTTTTCCATAATGTAGATTTCTTCTATTATTCCAGATCATGACAAGGGGGTCAGCCTTTCCCCACTTCCTCGTAATAGCTTTCTTACTAGCTATTAACATTATATCCCAGAACCTTCTTCATAGTTTTAAGTACATTTTTCCAAAATTGAACAATTTTAGGACAGTTCCAAAATACATGAGAATGATCAGCACTGATTGATCCACAATTACGCCATCACTCCATGTTTGTTGTTTCCTTCTATTTATTCTTGACTTTAGACGTGATGAAAAGTCATATTAGATTTTTCCCTGTGAGCTCCCTCCCTATCCGTGAATTGTTGGATGTCGATGCGATTATAGTTTAAATCCTGCAGTCATCTGATTTCTTAGTGATCATGTAAAATGCAAAACGCCATAAGTGAAATCAGAGAAAGGGCGATCTCTATCCCCCGAAACTGGCTGGGTGGATTTGGCGATGCTGGTGCTGCTGATGCAACAGTAGACAGGATGATGGAGGACGTGTGTCTATGTCAAATGGTTTTTAAAAAGCTATGATGAACTAAACCTCTACTGCTGAAACCAATAGGAAAATTCAACCGCAATAGCAACTGTTCAACCATAAGAGGACAGTTTTAAGACAAATATAGCAGAATGAAAGAGTAAAACAAGGATTAATCAACTGCACAAGTTACATTAGAGGAACACCCCTTAGACCCATTTTTTTTTACCCTTCATCTGCAAATGAAAGTAGATTTTGGGGTGAGTTACACTTCAAGCAGCACATATTAGTCTTTATTTCTAACAGGTATCAAGGAAGCAATGGTATAGCAGACTGGAACACGTACACAAAGATTTCTTAAATATCTCCTTTTTGTATCTGAGCGTTAGACCTAATATAGCAGTTGTCAGAAGTTATCAGATTCATACTGTGGATGTAAACATGCTTAGCAATCTAACCGCACTGTGATGACCAAACAGGCCATTTATGTTCCAATCCATTCCTCTGAACTTCATAGATGCTCCAAGCAATTTGAGTGTAAAAAGCTGTTGTTGGCTGTAAAAGCCTTAAAAGCTCAGACGAAGATCAGAAATCTATTACACTGGGCTGATCTTAATGCCTCTGACATCACAATTATGCTTTCTTTGGGGTTGCTCTGTCTGATGCATTGCCAAAAACGTTAATCCATGTTAACCTTTGAAGGTTGAATATCAAAACCTCTAGAAGTGTGAATACTTTTGCAGGGAAACATACAAATGTCAACTTAACTTAATCCCTTTTTGAGGGTATAAAACTTGCTAAAGTTGAGACTCCTTGTTGGCTTCCTTGTAGACCACAGAAAGCAGAGGATGTTGTCTTAAAGGGCCGGGCCTTTTTGAGCTCACGCTTGGAGGTTACCTTCCTTTTTGCACAAGTGAAACTTCAAGCATGCTTGTAGCCCACGCACTGTAGAGGTTTTCTCTGATGTGTCAGTCTGCTCCCAGAGCAGAGCTGATGTGATTAAAAGAGAGAAGACAGATCAAACGGGGTCATGAAATCCCACCTGCAGATCAGCAGATACATATTATTCTTTGTAGCAGCTCCTTTCTGTTCTCTATGTTTATCTGTTTATTTAACAAGTCATCACACGGAAACATATTTTTATCTATAACCTGTATGTTTGCCTTAGGGTTGAATTTTATCACAATTTTATTATACTTTTAAACCCCTCCCCCCCTAAAAAATCAAAAACCTGCGTAACAAGTTTGCTGAACCGTGGCCTCCAGCAGCCTGTTTCCTGTTTCAATGCTGCAGCTTTCCTGTCTGTTTCATTCTGGGCTGAGATTCATTTGTAAAATGATACAGCAAAGCTGGCTGACTGCTTTCACCGAGCTGCACAAACCTGTTTATATTCAGCTATTATTAGAGTAGATTTCTTAAGGTAAAAGCTTCTGTTCCATAGAAGCTGAATCCGGTCTTATTGCTCACTGCCTGCAGTCCAATGGCAAATCCAACGCTGCAAGTTTCGCTAATCCAGGACGTAAAACAGAACATTTACTGCTGCTGTGATGCTGTTTGCCTGCTAGTAAAAGTAGTAAAATAATGCAGCTTACACCGAGGCAGTAATACTAGATGAAAGTGTTTTACATGGTAGAATATTACAAAGTATATGAGATTTATTCAAATATTTATAGCAACTCTTGATACTCCCTGAAAGAATCTTTAGAGGAGATATAATTTTTATATGCTTTTGATTGCTTTTGTATATCTCTGCACCTTGTCCTTTTACATCACTTCATGACTGATGGGTCCACCTTGATTCTACCATTAAAAATAGTCCCTCTATACATAAACATAACTTTGCTTTAGGGATGCACGATATTGGGATTTTGGCCGATATCCGATATGCCGATATTTTAAAACTCATGTAGCCGATAACCGATACCGATGTTAAAGCTGGACAAAAATAAAAATTTGAAAATAGCAGTTTTGTTATCCATTTCTGACACTTTGAAATATAAAATACTCAAATATATTTTCATATGCTGATATCAAATTGATTTTTAAAAATGCGATATCCATCTATTTTACTTTCAAAATCTCGTGAAATTTCATCTAGGCTTGTCCCGATCCGATCCACGTATCGGATCGGACGCCGATATTGGCAAAAAAAATGAGTATCGGCAAGGCATGTAAAAACGCCGATCCAGACTGCTGATCCAGTAAAAAAAAAAAAAATCCGGTCCGTATTTTCCAGTTTCGGCGATTGAAACGATCCATTCCACTATTTTGCGCCAGTGTTCTCCGAATCCGGTCCGCATTTTCCAGAACACCTTCAACACACCCACAGGTCTTTTTGGGTCCGTCTCCCGCCTAACCATTAAAACAGGTGAATTGGAAGATAGCGGGAAAATGTCAGCCGTGTGGGATTATTTTATCCTGCACGATGTGTAGATGGAGACTAGGTGTGGAGGACATTGGGGAGTATAAGGCATTTTTGTGTAATAGTTCACTATTATTTGCACTGATTGTTTTTTAAGCAGTGTCTTTTTCAACAGTAGAGTCCTGATTCTAAGTTATTAGATTACTTTCAGATTTTCAGATTGCTATTCATAATTTTGTCCAGTTTGTGTTTATCTCTTAATAAACAGGTAAGATTGTTCTTACCAATCATTGTGTTTTATTCAATCTCACCTAATTCAGCTGGCTAGATGTTATCAAGAGTACTAAAACCCTTTTCAACATGAGTCTTACAACTAAGGCTAAATACTTTAAATTAAACTTAAATACATGCTCGGATAGGCTGGTATCGGCCAGTATCGGTATCGGATCGGAAGTCCAAAAACAATATCGGTATCGGATCGGAAGTGCAAAAACCTGGATCGGGACATCTCTAATTTCATCGTTCTGTTACAAACTCTCGTGATATTTTGCAAATTCTTGTGAGATTTTGTTAGTAAAATAGATCGATACCGCGTCAATATACCAACATATAAAAATATGGCAAAATTTCGATGACATATAGCAATATTTCATTAGTAAAAGAGATTGATATGGTGTTTTTAAATGGCAATATATCAGCATATGAAGATATTGTGATATTTTAATGTATCAATATTTTTTCCCTCGTCTTTAGAAGTTTTTAAGTCTGTAAAAAAGAAGTGCTTGAGGAAGAAGTAGTAGTATTTTTTTTTTTTTTTTTTTGACTTTAGAAACTCAAAAGCTGATCAAATATCGGGTTAAATATCGGTCGGGTGGCCGATGTCCGATATTCAGTTTTAAGGCAGATACAGGCCGATACCGATAGGGGGCCGATTATATCGTGCATCCCTACTTTGCTTTTTTCCTGTGATCAAATGTCTGGTTTTTATTGTTTATAATTTTATCATGTAGGTAGTTGCAATTATGGGGAGATTAGTTTTTTAGAGTTTTTTTTGACTGACTTAAAAATTAGGTTAAAATATGTCTTGTGTCATTAAGTTTAGATATTAGTCCTGTAAAGTCAGGGTTAGCAGATAGCAGGTGAGGAGAATCGACGGAATTTCTTTAAGTCACAATTTATGATGGGTCACATTTGGTGTAACACTGGAAATTTTATCAAACCAAAAAAGGACAAGTGATAAAGATGTGTAGTATGAAGTTTTATTTTTAAATGTAATGGCAAAAGGCTGTAGCATTAGTTCACCAGGCGAGCCATTGATGTCTCAAGGTTTGGGCCGAGATTGATATCCGATGTTATTATTAATGCAACCGGTGAATAATAAATATTTGCTAATGTTGGATAAATATTTCCCTGGGGTTTTAATACTATGACTTTATTTTCTGCTTTTACATCTCTTCTTTAGTCAAACACCCCACTGATACAAACATATAGCCCCTGGCCAACCCCCATATTGCAGATTCATGAGGAAAGAAAAACCTGAGGAAATGTCAAATATTTTTTGTCAAAATGTCCCGAATGCTGCAAAATTTGTCACAGAATGTGGCTGTGAACTCTGACCCATACGAAAGATGTGGACAGAGATGCAGGAGGTGTGTGAGCAAAGCAGCCTACAAACTGGAACCCCCAACACCAGCTCTGTAGCATTCAGAGTTCAACAGAGAAACTAACTAAAGGGAAATACATTAAGAAAAACAACTTTACAGTGTCCTTTGAATTTTGTCCTCTTTGGCATCGGACAATGAGTAAACAGTTAGAGACTCAATATCCTTTGAGCAGAAGTTTATCTGTGTACTTAAAAAAGAAAAGTACTACAAAAAGAAAAGTTTAAAAAACAAAACAAATATATAGAATATTTTGAAGGAGTTAGATCTCTCTACTTTTCATATTTCAGAGATGTTTATCTCAACATATATAGAGGACTAAAATCAGAAAGTCAATGGCCAAATTTGATAGAAACTCCTGACAGCCCACTTAGGAAGCAACACTGATTGACAATCAATATCACATGCTGTTGTGCAAATGGAATAGACTACAGGTATAAGTTATTGGCAATAAGCAAAACACACTCAATAAAGGAATGGTGCTGCTGGTGGGTACCACAGACCACTTCTGTGTCTATGATTTCTGGCTGATGTTTTGGTCTCTTTTAAATGTTGGTGGTGCTTTAACACTCAAGGTAGTATGAAATGGATTCTGCAACCCCCATGAGTGGCTCTGGTAGTGCAGTTCATCCAGGGTGGTAACATCAATGTGAGCTGTGGCAAGAGGTTTCACTGTATTTGTTAGGGTAGTATTCAGAGGCTGGAGGCGCTACTAACAGACAGGCCAATACACCAGGAGACACGAAGGACGCCGTAGGAGGGCAACAACCCCGCAGTAGGGCTGCTACCTTGACATTTGTTCAAGGAGGAACTACAGGAGCACTGCCGCAGCCCTGCAAAATGACCTCCAGCAGGCAGCAAATGTGCATGTCTCTGGACAAAAGGTTGATAACTGACTCCATGAGGATGGTATGAGGGCCCACAGTCCACACATGCGGGATGTGCTCATTGTAACACTATGCAGGACATCTTGCATTTAACCGGGAGAACACCAGGATTGGCAAATTCACAACTGGTGCCCTGTAATCTTTACAAATGAAAGCAGGTTCACACTGAGCACATGTTACAAACATGACAGAGTCTGGGGACACCTGGGAGAGTGATCTGCTGCCTCAACATCCTTAAACATGACCAGTTTGGCAGTGGGTCAGGTGTTCTTTCTTTGGAGGGCTGCAAAGCCAGCGGTAGAGACCATATTTAATTTTTTTATTTATTTATTTCACCTTTATTTTACCAGGAAGTCCCTTGAGATAAAATCTCTTTTTCGAGGGAGACCTGGCCAAGAGGCAGCAGTACAGTAAGGGCCGAATTTATCAAGATCCAATATTGCGTGCAGTAATTTGCGCTCGCAAACTGGAATTTTGCGCGAGGGGCTCAACCATGGTTTGCGGGTGATTTAACAAGACAATTGCGTAACTGGTGGCAGGTGCAAAACTGTTGGAGACGCCCTATTTAAATTATGGTTTTGCGCGTTTTGTGGTTTGCGGCATGGCGAGTTTGGACAGCAGAAAGCGCAAAAGGAAATTCGACCCCATGGAAATGGAGGTGTTGGTGGATGAAGCCAACAAACATTTAAGTGAGCTACAGCAAAGAAGTGTGACTGTCACACAGAGGAACGCTATATGTGAACAAATCTGTAATAAAGTAAACGCTGTCGGTGAAACCTTGCGAACAGTGGATGAAGTAAAAAGAAGATACCAGGATATTAGAAGGCGAACCAAAGAAAAACTGGCATATAACAAAACATCTGCGAACAAAAGAGGAGGGGGCACTGTAGATGAGATGCCTCTGACCAGCATTGAGGAACAAGTACAGCTGACGCTCTGTGAGGAGCAAATCACTGGAATTGTAGCTTCAAAATGGCAATGTTGGATAAACAATATGTTTTGATGATCGTTTCCTCGTTCATTCCAAAAATATTCACACGGAGTGAAAAAATGTGTTCTCTGCGTCTCCTTGCTACATTTCGATGTCTCCTTCTTGCGACAATAACCGCTGCCATGTGTGCGCAATTACGCATAAAGACCATTTGCACCTTCTTTTGAAACGTGTTAAATATAGAGTCAGATACCGTTAGCAGAATTGCTTTCAGGTTTAATAAATCACTTTGCGAGTGCTAAATTAATATATTTACATGTTCTCCTCCCACAAGACGCACTTTTGCGTGTAAACGCCCAATATTGCATATTCATTGCAGAAAAAGTACTAAATGGATAAGAGGCGCTATTTAGCACGTTTTAAAGAGCAAATCCTTTTAGCACGCTGTTGATAGATCCGTTTGTACATTTTTTAGCGTGCGCAGTGAAATAGCTCACGTTTTTATACACGCAAACCTTTGATAGATCCGGCCCTTAGACATATAAAAACACAGGACAACATAATAAAATCAATCGTAAACTAGACTCTAGAATAAAAGTTACAATTCTCTGTGCAAGCGGTTTTCAATAGTGATTTAAAATGCTGTAGCGGAATAAGAGTCGGTAATTGCAGGGAGTTTTATATATTGTGCAGCGACCATGGTGCTCCATAGAAAAATTATGTTTTGCCAAGATCTGTGTTGATCCTGGGAATAGTGTAAAGAACACGACTTGAAGAGCATGAGTTGTAACCACTGTTAGCTACAGACATGAGGTGACAGGTATGGAGGGAGGATGGCCTTGTAAATAAAAGTAAGCCAATGATGTTGTCTTCTGAGGCTTAGAGAGGGCCAGAAAACCAGAGCATACAGTTCACAATGATGAGTCCTGAAGGCAGAGTTGGTGATGAAACGTAAAGCACTGTGATAAACTATGTCCAGGGAGTGGAGAGCTGAGGAGGCAGCATTCATATATATGATGTCTCCATAGTCCAGAACAGGAAGGAAGGTGGTCTGAACAAGTCTTTTCCTCACTGAGGGAATCAAAGAGGATTTTTGTCTGTAGTAAAAGCCAAGCAGCGCTTTCAGCTTTTGCTGGTTGGTGGGCCCTGGGTTCCTCCTAATGCAGGACAATGCTAGATCTGATGTGGCTTAAGTGTGTCAGCAGTGTCTGCAAGATAAAGGCGTTGAATCTGTGGCCTGCCCGTCCCCCAGACCTGAATCTGACTGAGCACATGTGAGACATAATGTCTCAATCCATCCACCAATTTCACCTTGCACCACAGACTGTCCAGGAGTTGGGCGATGCTTTAGTTCGGGTCTGGGAGGAGGACCCTCAGCAGATCATCCAGCACCTAATCAGGCGCATGCCCAGGCGTTGTAGGGAGGTCATAGAGCGAGGTGGAGGCCACGCAATACTGAGCCTCATTCTGACCTGATTTAAGGACATTATTGTACATCAAAGTTAGATCAGCGTCTACTGTTTTTTTTTCCAATTTAATTGTGTGGGACTCCAAATCAAGGCCTCCATTGGTTAATAAATTTGATTTCCATTGATGATTTTTGTTTGATTTTGTTGTCAACTTTGTATAGAACAAAGTATTCTATGAGAGTATTTTATTCATTTAGATCTGGGATGTTTTATTTTCGTGTTTGCTTGATATTTTTGAGAAACCAAGCATTGGGGGACTTAAGTCTGTTGTCTTTGTTAAGCCTGATTTATAATCAGAAACGAGGTCGTCTGCGTGTGTCGCAGTTAATGCAGACATGCCCCCACCCCTTATGCAGACACTCTGGTGCACCTCTGCAAAATTGTAGGTGACAGTGCCGCAGACAGGAGGCCTCTGATTGGTCAAATTTGCATCTGCTCTACACTATGCGTATTTTTCTTGGTGCTTTACCAACTTGTTTTGTTTGTATGACCGCCATTGTGGAAAACTGGAAAACTCTTTTTTGCCCTCATGTCCCTCCGATGTTGCACAAACTTGCCCCCAATTCCTCCCCGCCTCGACCGTATGTAGACCCACAGCTAGTTCGTGATTGTCCCTCTTGTGCTGTGGCGTGGAGTAGCATAGCGCAGACCACGCTTCAAATTTGGGCATAAATCAAAAATATCTGTGTTATACCTGCGACAAGCTCACTGCGACACACTGCTGTGGGAGTATATTCAGCCCTTTACAGCGAAGCCTAGTTTGAAATTCCCATAAATATATTTTATTTCTACTCTTTCCACAGTGATCAGCATCTCACCAACCAGGCAGTTTATGCTAAACCCCAACCGTCGGCCACCAACCACGTCTCAGGAGGAACGGGGGGAAATGAAAGCAGCCCGGAGGAAGCGGAGGTGCTGCTGTCCAGTCACAAAGCAGCTCCCCATCAGCCATCCTTCCTCCGTGCCCTGATCAAAGCCTTCGGCCCTTACTTTCTGATCGGCTCACTCTTTAAGCTCCTGCAGGATTCCATCACCTTCATCAACCCTCAGCTCCTCAGGTGAAAATGATTATCTGATCCTCCTTTAACATGCGGTCAATGCTGCAACATATTAGCAAACAAAGCAATCTGTGTTCTGGTGTTTGCAAACTATTTCCAGCACAGTTTTTGCATGTTGTGTTTGCATCTATCCAAAACAGGGTAGCTTTTCTTGGAGCTAAATGTATACCAGCTTTGTCAAAAATGTAAATATGTTTCCTTTTCAAACCTCTAATGGCCCAGGGGGAAAATTGTTCAAGGCGAATGTTTTGTGAAATCCTTATCTCCAAGTTTTAGTCAGATAAAGTATCAAAGCTTGTTGACCACAAATTTCCTTCCATGCATTTTATTACACGACCAAAGATTGTTAACTAACACTGATCATATCTGTTCCATGTCACAAAGACAACATTTCAAAACTGCCCCAAGTCTTCATTTGACTTTCAAAATGTTATGTGCTTTGGTGTGACTGACCTTGCCTTATAAACTACTGTTTTGGAAAAATGCATTTTTTAAATTTATAATGTTAGTGTATCATTCAGTAAGAACCCACATGTTCCTGGGGCCCAGGGGCCTCAGTAAGTGCAGTGTCATCAAATCTGTTTTTAACGTGCTACAAATAAACGCTGAGTATTTTTCTAGAGTTAAAAGCATATTCTTCAAAAAGAGGAACATTGAGTTGAAAGAGGATTATTATGAGACAATTTTACTGTTAATAGAGAGGAATTATATTTAATCAATTCTGAGTTAAAGTTTCTTCCATCTGTAAAAGTAAAATTTACTCAGATACATTTCCTGTGTAGGCTGTTCTCAGTATCTTGATTCACCGAATCTTCATTAAGCATAATACAGGTTTCTGCTACATCAAACCTTGAATGGCTGTTTCTCTATTTTTCCTATTAATAATATTTTAGGAAACTTCCTGAAAAATTATATGCATAAAGATTAGGGCTAAAATGATCAAAGTTATAAATAAAAAATAATAGAGCACTTACTATGTATTAGAAATAAAATTATTAACTGGGATATACGGACTCTAAAACACACCTTTGGCTTAAACAATAACCCTCTTGCAATTGCAATTACCCATAAACTAGTAGCATTCGCATCACCTGTTTGAAATCGTGTAAAAAAACAACTATCAGCTAAAGGCATGTATTAAATATATATATATATATATATATATATATATATATATACACACACACACACACACAGTGGGGCAAAAAAGTATTTAGTCAGCCACCAATTTTTCAAGTTCTCCCACTCAAAAAGATGAGAGGCCGGTAATTTTCATCATAGATATACCTCAACTATGAGAGACAAAATGAGAAAAAAAATCCAGAAAATCACATTGTCTGATTTTTAAAGAATTTATTTGCAAAATATGGTGGAAAATAAGTATTTGGTCAGTTACAAACAAGCAAGATTTCTGGCTCTCACAGACCTGTAACTTCTTCTGTAAGAGGCTCCTCTGTCCTCCACTCGTTACCTGCAATAATGGCACCTGTTTGAACCCGTTATCAGTATAAAAGACACCTGTCCACAACCTCAAACAGTCACACTCTAAACTCCACCATGGCCAAAACTAGAGAGCTGTCAAAGGACACCCGAAACAAAATTATAGACCTGCACCAGGCTGGGAAGTCTGAATCTGCAATAGGTAAACAGCTTGGTGTGAAGAAATCAACTGTGGGATCAATTATTGGAAAAAGGAAAACATACAAGACCACTGATAATCTTCCTCGATCTGGGGCTCCACGCAAGATTTCACCCCGTGGGGTCAAAATGATCACAAGAACGGTGAGTAAAAATCCCAGAACCACACGGGGAGACCTAGTGAATGACCTGCAGAGAGCTGGGACCAAAGTAACAAAGGCTACCATCAGTAACACACTACGCCGCCAGGGACTCAAATCCTGCAGTGCCAGACGTGTCCCCCTGCTTAAGCCAGTACATGTCAAGGCCCGTCTCAAGTTTGCTAGAGAGCATTTGGATGATCCAAACGATGACTGGGAGAATATCATATGGTCAGATGAAACCAAAATAGAACTTTTTGGTAAAAACTCTACTCGTCGTGTTTGGAGGAGAGAGAATGCTGAGTTGCATCCAAAGAACACCATACCTACAGCGAAGCATGGGGGTGGAAACATCATGCTTTGGGGCTGTTTTTCTGCTAAGGGACCAGGTCGACTGATCCGTGTGAAGGAAAGAATGAATGGGGCCATGTATCGTCAAATTTTGAGTGAAAACCTCCTTCCATCAGCAAGGGCATTGAAGATGAAACGTGGCTGGGTCTCTCAGCATGAAAATGATCCCAAACACACCGCCCGGGTAACGAAGGAGTGGCTTCGTAAGAAGCATTTTAAGGTCCTGGAGTGGTCTAGCCAGTCTCCAGATCTCAACCCCATAGAAAATCTTTGGAGGGAGTTGAAAGTCCATGTTGCCCAGCGACAGCCCCAGAACATCACTGCTCTAGAGGAGATCTGCATGGAGGAATGGGCCAAAATACCAGCAACAGTGTGTGAAAACCTTGTGAAGACTTACAGAAAACGTTTGATCTCTGTCATTGCCAACAAAGGGTATATAACAAAGTACTGAGATGAACTTTTGTTATTGACCAAATACTTATTTTCCACCATATTTTGCAAATAAATTCTTTAAAAATCAGACTGTGATTTTCTGGATTTTTTTTTCTCATTTTGTCTCTCATAGTTGAGGTATATCTATGATGAAAATTACCGGCCTCTCTCATCTTTTTAAGTGGGAGAACTTGCACTATTGGTGGCTGACTAAATACTTTTTTGCCCCACTGTGTGTGTGTAATATATATATATATATATATATATATATATATATATATGGGGTATGTATTAACAGGGGGCAGATAGATCTTTGCATCATAATGAACCGTTTTCTGCATCACGAAGAAATAAATGGTAAAAGTTTGTTTTCCTGGTAAAGAGATGCAGGTTTTCCTTTCTGTTTTTCTAGCATGTTGATCAACTTCACAAAAGACAAGTCTGCTCCTGATTGGTGGGGTTACACGCTGGCCTTCCTCATGTTTTTCACCGCCATACTACAAACCCTCATCCTCCACACACACTTTCAGTACTGCTTCGTCACTGGCATGAACGTCCGGACAGCTCTCATAGGAGCCATTTACAGGAAGGTACAAATCCAATAATGCTGTTATCGCTTCTCATAAAGAAAAAAAATAAATAAATTCTTTTATTACAGTTTTTTTTTCTTACCCACTGCTTTACTTTTTTCCTCAGGCGCTGGTGATAACTAATGCAGCAAAGCGTTCATCTACAGTGGGAGAAATTGTCAATCTGATGTCTGTAGATGCACAAAGGTTCATGGATCTCACTACCTTTCTAAACATGCTGTGGTCTGCTCCTCTGCAAATTATGCTGGCTTTGTATTTCCTCTGGCAGGTATGAACATTTACTTATAGATGTTTACCTGGAAATTTAAGAAGCTCCAGTTAAAAATCCATTCACAATGAAACGTAAAATGTATTCTATATTTTACAGAATCTTGGACCATCTGTGCTAGCAGGAGTGGCTGTCATGGTTATGCTCATCCCCTTTAATGCTTTCATTGCCATGAAGACCCGGGCATATCAGGTATAGATGCTAAAGTTGTGTAGAAAATTCAAGTACTTTTTGTAATAATTACTCAGTAAATTCAATTTGTAGGCTGTAAATCCCAAATAAACTACAAATCAGGAAACTATAGAATTGTAACTCTGATCTCAATGATCAACCGCATAAGTGAAGTATGCAGATGACACAGAGCTATATATTACAATGTTACCAGGAGACTGAACCCATTAAATCGCTGGATAAAAGTAAATCTTTGTCATTTGTTAGCTTAGGTTTAGTGTGAATAAATTGTCTAGTTTTAGGTCTGTACATCTGCTTTAAAAATCTGTCTTTTGTAAAAAAAAAAATCTGTCTTTTGTCTTCAGGTCCAGCAGATGCAGCACAAAGATGCACGTATCAAGCTGATGAATGAGATCCTGAATGGCATTAAAGTCCTCAAGCTTTATGCCTGGGAGAACTCTTTTAAAGACAAAGTCCTGGCCATTAGGCAGAAGGAACTTAAGGTCCTACGAAAGACGGCCTACCTCGGAGCGCTGTCCACAATGGCTTGGACCAGTGCCCCTTTTCTTGTAAGCACTTAACATTTTATATTTACTGCTAGTTAGAAATGAAAGAACTCAAAGGTTCAGAAACAAAGAAAATTCCCTATTTTAACTTAAAACCGATCTAATATCTTGTTAGGTAGATTTTTTTTTTTGGTATCTCCAAGTATAATTTTCATGTTGTTTTCAGATCATTACCAGTGAGATGTAATTGAAAAATAGGAAATGGTCAACATTGAAATGTGACGAATTTTACCCTTAATACAACAGGTCATTTTATTGTCATTTTAGGGCCCCTTTGTCTTTTGTTTGTTTTAGCAATGGCCACCACTGTTCTTTGTTTTTGATTCACTTTTGATATATACACATTTTTTTAAAACATTTGGCTTTTCTTAAATTAGATTTAATAGCTAAATATTAATTGTTTGACATTTACTGGTATATATTGAGCTTCTTTAATATGTTATGTTCAAATCCTGGACAAGCCCCCAATAAAAGTAATAGTTGTCCTTAAGAGATTGGTACCAAAGCCTGTTATCAAATGGGCCCTGGGCCACATTGAAAGGTCCTCACATACCGACAAGCTTAAACCTTATTGGTCCTCTTAACTGTATTAAGTTAAGTTATTTACCTTTTGAGACGGATTTAAAGTCAAACAACATTGTACTATCAAACTAAGATGCACATACCCCGAGTGACTGATAGATTGCTAACGTTCTGCTATCTTAAGTTGGCCTTGCTTATAACACTATTGCCAATTTTGAGACATTCCAGACCCCTCTAAGGACCTTTTTTTCCCCCAAAAGCAACTAGTGATGAATATAACAACCTTTTCCATATTTTTTTTTAGAGCAGGTGAAGCTGCAACAGCTTTAAGTTTACAGTCTTTAGCAAATAGCGAGGGCTGCTGTAAAACTCTGCTTTGAAAGTTCTGGCAGGTGGCGGTCAGTCACCCTCACCATGCAGCAAACTGTCTGCAGTCAGAAGTTTTTCTAGTTGAAAATGGCTTATACTGGTTGATAAAAGCTCCATTAGTTCCACCCTAAATTACAGAGTGGGAAAAAAAGCAAACAAAGTAGGGTTGTAATATTTAGTATCTTCTTTAATGTTCTTTTTTTCCTTTTTTTTTCTTCCTCTAAAGCTGTTGCATTGAAATAGATCCCTACATGTGATTGATTTAATTTATTCACCTCATCCACTAATGGTTCCTTTATAAGGTTAAATTTCATAATATGACAAAATGTATAAATGTAGTTTTCATTTAGGGGAAATATAGAATATTTTAGTTCATTTCTTGGTAATTTAAATGTGATTTTTTCATTCATAACATTTTTGATATTTGTCTCTCCAACAATTATATATATATATATATATATATATATATATATATATATATATATATATATATATATATATATATATATATATATATATATATATATATACATATACATTTTTTTTTTCATAGTATTGTATGATTATAGTATAGTGATTTTATTGTGCTGTTTATACAATATGTAACCTGTTTTGGACTTTTTGTGTGCTTTTCCTTCAAATTTCTTAAAAAAGGTTTTTTTTCATTATTTTATTTTAACACTTTTTTGATAAAATAAATAAAAAGGTTTCAATAATCATTAATTATTTAGGTAAAAACATTAGCAGCTTCTTTGACTTTTTTTTTGGTCCCAGGCTGAAGGTTCAGGGTTTACAGGATTCATTTTTGGTTTGATATGATTATGATAGAGTCCCTATTTGCCATTTTATTTTCGTTGAAGAATTCTTAATTCTATTCCCACTTTAATTTTATTTTCCTTACTGGGTAGGATAAAAAGAGAATGCCACACCTCACCTTGTTTAGTTCTCGCCATGGAAACACTACTTACCTGGCATCTTATTCGGTTGACCACTCTGATTGATGGGATATATTTCGGCAAGATTTTAAATGAGCCGTGATATTTTTATTTTTTTTACAGAGGCCAATAAATGCACAGTGAAATTCAATTCAGTTTATTTATATACTGCCAATACACAACACGTCATTTTCTGTCCTGAAGGTCAGCTTTTAAGAACGCTTAAAAATATGCTTACCTGAACTCTAATGTAATGTTAGTGTGTAGTAATAATGGGACATGATGTTTTGCCGTTCTTTTCTTGTGTTTCCAGGTTGCCTTGACAACGTTTGCAGTGTATGTCACTGTGGATGAGAACAACGTGCTGGATGCAGAGAAGGCCTTCGTGTCACTCTCCCTTTTCAACATCCTTAGATTTCCTCTGAACATGCTTCCCCAAGTGATCAGCAGCCTCGTTCAGGTTCATTTCTTTCTCCGTTTTTCATCTTCCCTTGTCACCCCTGTTTACACCGCAGCCTTATGTGATATCTGTTTATGCTGCTTCTCAGGCCAGCGTCTCACTTAAGCGCATTCAGAACTTCCTGAGTCATGATGAGTTGGACCCAAGCTCCGTGGATAGAAAGAACACCGGCTCTGGTAATCAGGCTGTCTCTACTTGCATGTTTTAAAGGGCGTTGTCAGGTTTTTTTTACAGTCCTCTAAAAAAGAAATCCAGTTACAAAGTCAACTCACCTCTCACCTAGTGACTCTGAACCTTGTGAGTAGTAGAATGAATCACTCACAAAGGCTTTTTATGTTTTTTTTGCTCAACAGATTTTGCCGTTTCTGTGGTCAATGGGAAATTCACGTGGGCCAAAGAGGATCAACCTGTTCTGCACAAGTATGACATGTTATGTGCAAAAGCATTCATTCTTTTGTGTTGTGCCTCTGACATGTTTGCTGTGTTGCTAGCATCAACGTGATGGTGCCGCAGGGCTCCCTGGTGGCTGTTGTGGGACATGTTGGTTGTGGGAAGTCCTCCCTGATCTCTGCACTGCTAGGAGACATGGAGAAACAGGAAGGAGAGGTGTCTGTCCGGGTAGGACTCTTTACTTTCTCCTTTCCTTAAACCACTGATATCCTTACTGAAGGCTGACGGGCCTTTTCTGAACAACTACTGCAAATAAATGGCTGCATGTATGGTTGACCATCAGAAAACTTAAGAATTTTAGGATTTAATGAAACAAAAATGTAGTATTTCAGTATTTTATACGTCCGCAAAGAAGTATTTCCATACTTTCTCATGGATTGTTTTTGCTTGATTTTAGACGCCAGTAGCTTTTCAATAGAATTTGCTGGCATGTATTGAATTATTCAGTTGTTGTGTGGTTTGGCTCTTCCACAAACTAGGCAGCTAACATTTCTGCAGAACTCACACATCCTGGATGCATATACTTAGGCTTTTACCTTAAAAGATCATTTCTTAATTATCATTTTTTATTTTCCTTCTAAATGTTAAAAATAAAGCCTTTTCTGCCGATTATACCTGGAATATCCATATGTTGAGTCTGTCGTAGCCTTATCTCATTCCCTTCTCTTCAGATTGTAAAACATACGTTGTGTGATAACTTGAACAGTTCTAGACTGTGGTTTTTTTGTTTTTGTTTCTGTGATGTTTTCAATTTTCATGGGAAAGGACTAACCAAACTGACCTGACTCTATAGTTAAATGTCCTCTAAAACATAAACTGGCTGTGCCAGCCTTGGCAACAACAGCTGCTGTCAAACATTTGTGATATACTTATTTTCCATTACTTAGGAAGCTTAGTCCTATTCTTTCCCAAAAAAAGAAAAAAAAAGAAAATTAAAAACAATCTACTGGACTTTGTTTCCAAGGTGAAGACTTTTTGTTTCCCATCCAGGAAGCTTTTTCAATTCAGAATGTCAGGAATAGCATTGAGGTTTAGGTTTTATACAGTAGCCCAACAAAGCCTTGTTTTTGTTTTGAAAACATGTAAATTAAAATGGACGAAGGGGTCCACCCCCTTTGGAATGGGGATCGATGGGCCTTTTGTTAGCCTGCAATGCCCCATACCCGTCTAAGTGTTTACAAATACAAAACAAAAACAACATTTTGTTGGGCTACTGTAAAAAGCCTTGAACTATTCCTGACATTTTGTATTGAAAAAGCTTCCTGGATGGGAAGCAAAATGTCAATGTCCATGTTGGAAACAAGGTCCAGTGGATTGTTTTTTTTCCCCCTTTTTTTTTAAATGACTGACCTGGATGACTGAAATTTGGTTTTGTATAAGATCACCCTTTGGATTTACTTTTTTGGCCAGCAGTGTTTTTACCTCAATACTTTCCCATGGGCGCCATTTCTGTTAAATATCCTTCCTATTTCCGAGTCATGGACATGATCACACACATCTGATCCCCTTTCTAGGGGTTTAGAATCCCCTGACCGTGTTGCATTTATTAGAGCCATTTAGTTGTTGCTCTTGTTTCTACTTGTTAAGCAGCCACTCTTATGAAAGTTTCCAGTACTTCATGATTCACTCATCTCAAATTCTTGGAAATATATTTTCCTAGCTGATGGATAGGAATAGGAATAGCTAATGACTAATTCATGATTTACAAATTAGAGCAAATAAATATATATTTTCAGGAAAGGGTTGGTTTGATATGACTAATGATCTAGGTACCTACAATAAAACGCTATCCTGACTCATAGGTGATAAAATGCTTATCTGAAAAACATAGATAGTTTTATGGTCTCATTTGGACTTGGAAGTGAAAATACCACATCAGAGAGTGTTTTCATCATTATTGTTACAGTGGCCTTAGCAGCCGTATGGGAACAAGTGTCAACACGCTGAAGACTTCCAAGTCCGTTATTTTTCAAACATTTACCAAGCTTTGTAGATATTGTAGATATATATATATGTACCGATTAGCCAAAGGAGAAATTAACGGTAGTTACCACAATTTAATACACACAGGTCTGCACAAACATTTAAGCTTTAACCCTTTCTAGGACACTCAGTGAAATACTTTGAAAATCAAAATTTCAAGCCAATAGTGTAATTGGACAAACCCTTATTACCTTTGTAACATTCAGAAAATATGGATATTTTGATGGCAAAATTATTGTCAATGTAATAACAAGAAACGGCAATTAAAGAAGAAAAATAACAAAAGTGCTTCTATATGAAATTCATAAAAAAACACTCTGAGAGTTTTTGGTAAAACATAACCTTAGAGGCATTAATGCTGATACTAGCACTTACATTTTTTATTTTATAGACTTAAATATACTTAACTAGGCTTATTAACTTTTGAACTTAAATTTTTAACTTTTCAATTAGCTTTTTACCTTTTTTTATTGACTTGCTAACTTTTTCTTAATTTACAGTGGGTAATATATAATTCAAGGGCTCGTCTATTCGGTCAAATGCCAAAATAAGATGTACAGCCATGTAGCATTATCTTTGCTGAATGGCTGGATATAGATCGTGTGCTTCTAGACCTCACTGAGGGACGGGGGGCTCTATTTGTAAGGGGTCTGCAAGTGATCAAAAATGGAAACTTGCCCTATAAAGGATTAGGCAAGCGTTTGCAGAATTAAAGAAGTTTATTTGAAAATGTCAAGATTGACCATATACAAAACATGGCAGCCATAAGCCTCTTTGCGCAGTTTAGATGACAAAATCCATTTCATTTAGGTGTTTGGTAACTTAGACTTAGACAAACGTTTCAAACCTTGCATACAGCTTACAGCAGTGACAACAGCATTATCATTATAAAGTGCAGCTCTGATCAAAAGGTAAACGGTGAATGAGAAAAGGAAACCAGTTTAAAAATAATTGTGTAAAAGGGCATTAATATGGAAATTGGACAGTGCAGTGTAAAATAATTATGGTTCAAAGTGCAGAAGAACATTGAGTTGTGTCCTATTTAAAAAGGATTATAAAATGTACTGTAGCGACCAAATTATAAAAATAAATTAATTGGAGAGATAAGAAAAAAAGATTGCAGCTTTGATGTTCAGACTGATCCTTCAGGCAGCAAATCCAGCTTATCCTAAAGTTATCCATAAGTGTCCCGTCCATGGTGAAATGATCACAAATTATCTTTTTTTTAAATCTTACTGGACTCTTTAATACCCAAAGTGAACTTTACATGTGATCCGACACTTATAAGAGGAACTAACAGTTATCTGAATCTCTCCTCAGGGGTCTGTGGCTTACGTTCCCCAGCAGGCCTGGATCCAAAATGCCACCCTCCGGGACAACATCCTGTTTGGGAATAGCTTCAACGAGCAGAAGTACCACCGTGTTCTGGACGCCTGTGCCTTGACACCAGATCTAGAAGTTCTGCCTGGAGGAGACATGACGGAGATCGGAGAGAAGGTGGGAAGCTCTTATATCAACAGAGCTTTTCATTATATTCATACCATGGATGCATCCATCCATATATTTTCACTTCAGATCCGATCATAATACCTGAATTTGGATATCTGCCTACACTGATACTTTTCTAATATCGCCGCTTTTTACAGTACCATTGATGCAGATTTTAAAATTTGCGTGCAAATCTGATTCCTTCTCGGCTCAGCTTAATCTCGCTCTCACTCGGCTCCACAGGATTAACTGATGTAATTTAGTTTAAAGCTGTGATGGACCCTTCTTCACTGGGCTCATCCACCCTTCTGACTGGATGGGTGGAGTCACGATAACCCACATGTTGCAGTGACTTAAAGGGGAAAGAAATACCAGCCACCTGCACACACAGGCCAAACAGCAAAATTAAGTGTATTTCTTTCACCGATACGGGAAAATTGTTGCAGGTTATTGTAGTGAATAATGGTTACGGTAAAAATACGGTTTATTGCCCAGCCCTTGTAAAAAAAATAAATTGTATGGTGCAAGGGTGTGATTAACCAAAAAAAGAAAAATAACTGTGTATAGGAGTGGAAGAATAAGAGTGCTTGTTTGAAATATATATATATATATATATATATATATATATATATATATATATATATATATATATATATATATATATATATATATATATATATATATATACACTATATTGCCAAAAGTATTTGCTCACCTGCCTTGACTCACATATGAGCTTAAGTGACATCCCGTTCCTAATCCATAGGGTTCAATATGACGTCGGTCCACCCTTTGCAGCTAGAACAGCTTCAACTCTTCTGGGAAGGCTGTCCACAAGGTTTAGGAGTGTGTTTATGGGAATTTTTGACCATTCTTCCAGAAGCGCATTTGTGAGGTCGCACACTGATGTTGGACGAGAAGGCCTGGCTCTCAGTCTCCGCTCTAATTCATCCCAAAGGTGTTCTATCGGGTTGAGGTCAGGACTCTGTGCAGGCCAGTCAAGTTCATCCACACCAGACTCTGTCATCCATGTCTTTATGGACCTTGCTTTGTGCACTGGTGCACAGTCATGTTGGAAGAGGAAGGGGCCAGCTCCAAACTGTTCCCACAAAGTTGGGAGCATGGAATTGTCCAAAATGTCTTGGTATGCTGAAGCATTCAGAGTTCCTTTCACTGGAACTAAGGGGCCAAGCCCAGCTCCTGAAAAACAACCCCACACCATAATCCCCCCTCCACCAAACTTTACACTTGGCACAATGCAGTCAGACAAGTACCGTTCTCCTGGCAACCGCCAAACCCAGACCCGTCCATCAGATTGCCAGATGGAGAAGCGCGATTCGTCACTCCAGAGAACGCGTCTCCACTGCTCTAGAGTCCAGTGGCGGCGTGCTTTACACCACCGCATCCGACGCTTTGCATTGCACTTGGTGATGTATGGCTTGGATGCAGCTGCTCGACCATGGAAACCCATTCCATGAAGCTCTCTGCGCACTGTTCTTGAGCTAATCTGAAGGCCACATGAAGTTTGGAGGTCTGTAGTGATTGACTCTGCAGAAAGTTGGCGACCTCTTCGCACTATGCGCTTCAGCATCCGCTGACCCCGCTCCGTCAGTTTACGTGGCCTACCACTTCGTGGCTGAGTTGCTGTCGTTCCCAAACACTTCCATTTTCTTATAATACAGCTGACAGTTGACTGTGGAATATTTAGGAGCGAGGAAATTTCACGACTGGATTTGTTGCACAGGTGGCATCCTATCACAGTTCCACGCTGGAATTCACTGAGCTCCTGAGAGCGACCCATTCTTTCACAAATGTTTGTAAAAACAGTCTGCATGCCTAGGTGCTTGAATTTATACACCTGTGGCCATGGAAGTGATTGGAACACCTGATTCCAATAATTTGGATGGGTGAGCAAATACTTTTGGCAATATAGTGTATATATATATATAATAAATATATTAGAATCAAATCTGAAAATATAAAGTATATTGTTGATGAAGGTTCTCAGTCATCCAGGTCATAGTCATTCCGTAAAAATTCAAAAAATATCCACTGGACTTGGTTTTCAAGATTTGAAGACGTTTCGCCACCTCTCCAGGAAGCTTTCTCAATTCAAATGTCTGGATCCGCAGTGAGTTTGAGTCTTATATAGACAACGCCTTGTATCGCTTGGAAACATGCAATGGAAACCGATGAATGGGTCGTTAGTTCCATCGTTAGCCTGTAATATCTGAACCTGTCTATGATTCTAGGGGTCGGTCGTTAAAGGGGGGATTGTCATTAAGGGGGAGATTGTCATGACAATATGCGATACAAGGCGTTGTCTATATAAGACTCAAACTCACTGCGGATCCAGACATTTGAATTGAGAAAGCTTCCTGGAGAGGTGGCGAAACGTCTTCAAATCTTGAAAACCAAGTCCAGTGGATATTTTTTGAATTTTTACGGAATAAAGTATATTATATTCTGTCCCAGCATTATATAGCATCATAATTTGGTTGCTCTTCCAGCTGAACAGGTTTAGATCTTGACTTTAACCATAAATCAGCATTATTTGATGTAAACTCCTCCACCTTTCTGTAGTTATAAACCAATAGCTGGTTTCCCTTATAATGTTGCTGCCACCCCCATGCAACACCTTAGGCATGTCCCGTTTATATCTATGCTCTTTCTCCAACACATTCATTCTGACCAGAGAAACCTCTTCCATATATTTGCTTGTTTCTCTAACTGCAAAGAGGACTTCTTTTGACTTTCTGCAGTAGATCTGTTTCTTTTTTCCATTTAGGTTTATGAATTACACGATTCTTTTAAGGCAAATCGCTACATTGTGATTTACTTAATCAGATTGGATTTATTTCGATCGCTTTACTTTGACTCTATTGAGCTATTTTGAATTGTAAACTAGAACATGTTTAACTTTGAGCTGGTAGAGATTACTGCCTCAGACGTATTGTTCATGTAACTTAGTAAAATATGGTTCTGAAAGGTTTTGCACATCACAATTTTTATTTTACTTGCTCTACACAACCTCTTTGTGTTCGTCTGATGTATAAAACATAAAGTTTGTGGTTCTGACTCAAAGGGGAACAGCTTCCAACAAGACGTCTTGATCTGAAGGTTATTTTATTAAGTGTTTATTTTTTATTTTTTGGTCATCTCTTTTATTAGAAGTTAAATTAAAATTTATTTGCATCAATTTTGATAGATTAGCCATTTCCGTATAATCTTTTACACGTTTTATTTTCACTACATGTGTGTAATTGTGTAAGTTAGGGGTTTTCAAGAACAAAAATATCACACTGATGATGCAGAGGTCTCAAGAACTCATGTATCAGATATGATGGAATGATAGTGATAAAAGATGAATGGATTTTGTCCTGCAGGGCATCAACCTCTCCGGCGGTCAGAGACAGAGGGTGAGCTTGGCTCGAGCTCTGTACAGCAACGCCGACGTCTACCTACTCGACGACCCGCTCTCTGCGGTGGACGCCCACGTGGCCAAACACATCTTTGACAACCTCATCGGACCTGAGGGCGTTTTGAAAGGCAAGGTGAGGAAAATCAACGAGAAAAATCCCTAAAAATTCTCAGACTCTACCTCCTAAAACTGTCCAGAATAACAGTTGCCTCTCAGCCTTGGGGAAGTTGAATCCTATCGTTTTCCAGACTGGCAGTTATATCAGCTGTTATCAGTAAAAAGGCTTGTTCCGTGTTGTAAACATAATCCTCAGCGCCTGATAAGATCCTGTTTTCTGATGGGAAACTGCGCTGAAAGCTTAAATGAAGTTGGGCTTGTGATGACAGGTCTCTGGGACGGCGTTCTTTAACGATTCATTTCCTTTGTATGATCCAAGACTCGCATCCTGGTGACACACGGCATCAGCTTCCTGCCTCAAGTGGATAACATAGTGGTGATTGTGGATGGCAGGGTGTCTGAGATGGGCTCCTATCAGGAGCTGCTCAAACAGAACGGAGCCTTCGCAGAGTTTCTCAGGAACTACGCTTTAGAGGACATCATAGAGGAGGACGAAGCCACTGGTTGATTAACACTTTATTTTATTTTCCACGTAATTCCTGCTGAGATTAACAGTTGATATTGGTTTCATACAGTTTCTTTCTGCTTTCACAGAGGAGTTAATTGAAGATGAGATGTTCTCTGACGACGTCCTTAGCAACCACCACACAGACATGGTGGATAATGAACCCACATTTAATGAAACAAAGAAAAGCTTTATGAGGTGGGAGAAATTAGTAATACTAAACATGTTTGATATTGTTTCTCAGGCTGCGTTCACATCCTACTGGAACCAAACAGCATTGTTTTTGTTTTTTATTGTTCTACTAACAAAGATTTATTTTTATGTTGCTTCCTTTTTGCAGACAGATGAGCATTATGTCAGGAGACAGTGATAACCTCAGGTGCCGCTCGGTCAGGAGACACGGCTGCAGCCAGAGGAGGCATCCAGAGCCTCAGGAGAAGAAGAAACCCCAGGAGATGGAAAAGCTTATCCAGGCGGAGGCAGCAGAAACGGGACGGGTCAGTAAAAACTCTGCTCACTAGGTGATAGATGTTAAAGGAGTCGAGGAAGAGGGTTGAATTTAGGAAGGACAGTAATGGTTTGAAGCGTATAAATAGTGCTGCTTTGGATGAAGCTTTTTACTAGTTGCTGCTAATGGACGATTGCTGTCCCTGGTTGCCTGTGATCCATATTTGCGACCTGTTAAATGTAAGCTCTGTGGCTAAACCTTCAAGCTTTCTCTCTCCAGTTCGTTTTCCTGAAAAGAGATCATTTGGGACAAACTCTTAAAATAACACTTCATAACCTAACCATGAGACATGACAACAGATTTTGATAGAAATTGTAATCTTACTCAGATCTAGGGTTGCTAACTCCCTGAAAAAAAAAAAAAAAAAAGGACACCTCATGTGGGTGCCAGCTGACCCGATTGCCGTTATCCCTCCTGGCGTTGTGATTTTTTTTTAGCCCCCCTTTATGTGTGAAATTATTTTTTTAACTGTTTGACTCAAATCTGCATTGAACTAGATGCATATTTGTGAGTAACATGAACACATGGAAAAGAAATTTTTATCCAGCAATTCACTTTAAGTATCTAAAACATAAGCCTGTCCTGCATAACTTCAAACTGTAAAAATTATTATAAAACAATACATAAATGTTGCACATTTTTGGTGCAACATCAAACTTGTACAAACTTCTAAACATATTTACAAGTTTGTAAATATCGCTTTACTTTGAGAAATGTAATGACTGTAGGCTACAGTTGCTAAAACAGAAAAAAAAATCATTATGAGGAGGAGGGTTCTCTGGATCGTAACGTATATGTTGTCAGCTCATTGGTCGAAACGCAGGACAGGGCCTGGGAAAAAGTTTACCGTAAGTTTTGTATCCAACGTGCCCCTGTGGTTCATTCTTCATTAGCTTTTTACTGACAATTTTTTACTCTCACAGTAATGTGGGACAAAGTGCTTTCTTTCCACTACATACGGGACAGGTGCTTCTATTTCTAAATACGGAACAATTCCATTTTTTTAAGGGACGGTTGGCAACCCTACTCGGATCAAAGAAGTTGCTTAGTTACAGAAGGCAGCTGCTTACCAAGCGGGCTCACTTCTCAGGAAGTGAACACAATTAACAGATAAAGAAGTATTTTATGCCATATCATCACATTATACATCATACACGTTAGCAAATGAGGAGACATCCCTAGCTCCAGCCTTATCAAAATATATCATCAATGATAGACCCAAATTCCTAATGGGATTTAGGACTTACCTTTTATCAACCAATGCTTTCATAAAGATTTAACAAAAAACAGCAGAAAATGAATCTTTTCCTCAAAATGAAACTGTAATGTCACTGAGAATCTGACCTTTGCCGTTTCAGGTTAAGTCCAAAGTGTTTCTGGAGTACGCAAAGGCAGTAGGACTCGTGCTGTCGGTGATCATTTGCCTGCTGTACGCCTGCCAGAGCGCCGCCTCCATCGGAGCGAACATCTGGCTCAGCGAGTGGACCAACGACGCGTCGTTAAATAACACCAAGGAAAATGTTAACATGAGGGTGGGGGTGTACGCAGCTCTGGGCATTGCACAAGGTAAGAAATCGGACACCAACTGTCTCAGTGAAGTCGTGTCAAAGTGTCTTTGCCAAAGCACTCCTTATTCGTTGTGAAACTGAGTCTAGTCGGGCTGAATTTATGGTACAGGAAGCCGCTTCCATTAATATGGCTTCTTGGTGATTAAAAATTGATCCGAAAGGATTTAATTTACAGTTGGTATGCTTTTGTTGCAGAAAGATTTAATTGTGCCCTCAGAAAGCAGTAACATTTCCCTGTTTGCCACTTTTTCCTGCATGGAGGAGGCTGTGGACCTGAAGCATTGAAGCATATTACTTATAGTTTATTCCTCTCTTAGTGACCCGTCATTTCTCCACACTGCCTGAGTCTCTGCCTTCCACCTTCATTCCACAACATCCTTTCATTTCTCCTTTGGTTCATCCCCTTCCCAGGTGTCCTGGTCATGATCTCTTCCTTCACTCTAGCCATGGGGAACATCGGCGCAGCAAAGAAGTTGCACTTTAACCTGCTCATCAACAAACTTCACACACCCCAGTCTTTTTTTGACACCACACCCATAGGACGCATCATCAACCGCTTCTCCAAAGACATCTACGTGATTGACGAAGCTCTGCCCTCCACCATCCTCATGTTCCTCGGCACCTTCTTCGTTTCCCTCTCCACCATGATTGTTATCGTTAGCAGCACGCCCTATTTTGCTATTGTCATTGTACCCCTAGCTGCCATTTACGTCGTCGTCCAGGTACTCCCATGCTGGCAGACCTCTGTGCTCTGTGTGCCATAAAGTTCTCTCGCTGACTCTTTGACCTTTCTCTTCCTGGAGTCGCATGCCGCCTGTATGTTTGGTGCAGCAGATCTTCTAATCTTCCAATTATGGCTTTTTGTTTTCTTTAGCATGTGATGTCGATGATGATCGCTGATTTTACTCCTCTTTGCTCCTGGATTTACTTTGCTCTCTCCTGCAGCCGATAAACTTCCTGTCCAGCCTGCAACGTGCTGCCACACCCACCACACACACACACACACACATACATAACATGCATGTGTCATAATAAGGGAAAACAATAGTTATAGTAGTAGAAATGGTCTTAGATAGCTCCTTACTGCCCTCTTGTTGTAGATCAATGATGATACAACTTGGTTTTATTTAAAGCTTGTTTAAAGTAAACCAGTATTTGTAATACTGGGGCTTCCAAATCTGTTGTCATGGTTACATCAATGATATACTAAATATCTCCATGATGCTGTGCACTACTAAGTCTATTGCTGTGGGAACCTAGTGCACCTTAATTCTCTTTTGGCATAAGAACATGTGGTTGGGTTTATATGTATTTTGAACTTTAAAGTAGCACTGTTAAACTGAAATAGTAGCTATTCTGACTCATTAGCTCCTCATTTATAGGTAAAAAATCTGCCATACAAATGAGCAATGTTTAATAAACAGCCACTTTTCTTAAGGGAAAAAAGGCTGTGTTAAACAGAAATCAGATTTGACTTGTTTCTGGCTTCTTTTGGTGTTAAAAGCTTCTGTTGATTTGAGGAAAAAATCACCAGAGGCGTCTGTTTGGGCAGACTAGCGGAACAGGTCCTTATCCATTTAACGCAGGTGTTGTTGTGTTGTCCTCCCCTCCCTCCCCCTTCTCGCAGGTGTGCTCATTTTGGCTAACTGCCTTTTGTGCCGGGCCTACTGTATGCTGCGGGCGGCCAAGCTCACACACCGAAACATGCTGCAGGGGGTCCTGCGAGCCCCGCAGGCCTTCTTCGAGAGCACCCCGACTGGGCGGTTACTGAACCGCTTCAGCAAAGACGTGGATGCTATAGACTCCCACATCCCAGAAAATATTGACATATGGATGCGCACTTTCTGGTACACACTGAATGTGCTGCTCATATGCTCTGCCCTCACCCCAATGTTCCTCTTAGTCGTAGCCCCGTTAATGGTGTTCTATTGGTGGGTTCAGGTAAATAGGAAACAAGTGTGCTAACTCATGATTGCTACATGCATGGGCGTGGATGCTGTTGAGCGAGTGTGATATAGACTGCTATATGTTGTTATCACCACCGTTTTAGTGCTTTAGGCTCTCGCTGATTAGATTTGTGTTGTTAGATTGTAGTGGTAGCAGCTTTACATGTAGCAACATTTGGTTCGGCTTCTAGTTCAGGTTTAGAGGCTTTTAAATGGGAAATTATTATTTTTATGCTGCAGTAAAACTGAAGGTATTTTGTTATCTAAAGAACTATAAAACAGCTTTTCTTTAATCATCTGTCAGCAAACTAAAAATGCCTTCTGCTGTGAAACCCAAATTAAAGTATTAACGCCCAGAAAGGCGGCCATTATTTATTTTAGGAAATCTCAAATATGAATGCACAAGGTAAAGATGAAATTACCATATTTTCCAAAATATAAGCCGCTACTTTTTTCCCACGCTTTGAACCATGCAGCTTATAAGAAATAGCAGCTTTTCTTTTGATTTATCATAACCGCCAGAGGGGGAAGTCAAAGTTAGAAATGAAAGAATAAGGGGCTAATTTTCATTTAGCACAAGAACATATATAAAGAACAATAAATTCACACATTTTGATATTTATTTGCCTCGTTAAGGTTGCCAAACCAATGAATACAACTCCTTTAGAGCTGAAATAAAGAGCTGATGAAGCCCCATCTTTCAGTAGAATTTCTTACTGCTGTGAGCCAACAAGCTTGTCACTACCCGATCCGTCCCAGAAGCACGATCCGTTCTGCACATGCGCCATCAGCTCATTTGAGCATCCAGATATACATCGAGGTCATCCTCGATTTTATTTTGTTAAAAATACCTAAATTACGTTTTTCCTTCTCAAAAATAGTAAACATACTAAAATATGTGTTAATGGTTAATAATGTATTTCCTAAGAAAATAAATGCCTTAAAATCCTTTCCTCTTTAATCAGTCGTCTCTGCCCGATCTACTTCCGGTGGTTAACTTTTCCGGCTTTGGATTTAAACATAATTCTAGTGTTTTTGAGTTTTATCTTTTTTTTTTCTTACGTGTTAACATTATACTATATAGGGGCGTAATCTAAAGAAAGAAACAATAAAAATGTAGATAAACACGGTTTAATCATATTTCGCCAGACTGCTCTGAGCATGTATGATGATGACGTCAGAGAAGCAGTTTAACGGAGAAAATGTAAAAAGCATAAACATTAAAATAAAATAAAAAATGTTTTTACAGATGTGTATTAATATTCTTTAGTGAGTTAAGGATAGAAATAAGTTGTTGCATTATTTATGGAAACCCGGATATATATCTGTCGGTTCATGTGCAGGACGGATCGTGCTTCCGGGACGGATCGGGTAGTGACAATTAAGCTCTTACTGCTCCAAGCCAACAAGCTAATTGGAGCTAGCATTCTTCTTCATCCCTACTCCAGGGGCGATATGTAGAGCTCCCCCTACAGTGTTGGTGGAGAACAGTTCAGTAGATATCAGTGGCTTGTATATGTACGTTTCCAGTTTTTTCAAAAATTGTAGTCGGCACGGCTTCCAGTAAGGTGCGCTCTGTAGTCCGGAAAATACAATTGTAGTTTTTAATCATTAATGGATGACAGTGTTTGGTAAGTTTTACCATTTTTAAAATGAAACCCAATCTGTTGCAGCCAATAACCCTCAGCAGCATTCTTATCCTTATGTCATCAGTAGCGAGCCATCCAGGGTTTGGAAGTAGCTGGAAGGTATTTATTCCTAAACTCAGTGGATATTTTAAAGCACTGCTTTTCATGCTTGGATTTAGGCCTTATCACAAAAGTTTTGGGCCATGGAAGTAAATTCAAATTCCACATGTGGTGGAAAGGAATGTCATATATAAAAGTACCTCCTGCTATTCATTTGTGCCAGACGCTTGTTGGTGAAGTTGCTCCTTATTATTGGTAGACGTACAAATATGTTTTGAAAAATGTTTTACATTCACTAGATAAAAATATTAATAGGCATCCATTATAACAAACAAGAAATAAGAAACGTGGAAACTTCTCAAATTGTTTTTTTTAGGCAAAAATCCCTGCATAGGATTAGATTATCTTGCCAAAAATACTGCAATATGAAAATTTTTCAGGTGAAACGTGAGACTTTTAAAGTAGGGATTTGCATTATATCTGGATTAGTATTGATATCGACCAATGTTGTCCATTTTCAGATAATTGGTTTTGATCCTATAACTGCGATGATATTAACAAGCAAGCAGCAGCTATTTAGTCGACTGCTTCCATTAATGATTTCTTTGTATTGCATTAGTAGAGTTTGCAGAAATCTACTTACTAAGATTTGGAAAAGGTTTTTGCGTTTCCTTGAGGTGGTTTTTGACGTTTTTGCAAAAGAGGAAATGTGCATAAGAGGAACTTGAATAAAATTTGTCAAATAAGTTCTGATTTAGCGAACATTTACTGAGCAGCTGTTTCCCCTGTCAGCGTCCGGAAAGCAAACAATAGAAACCTTTCTCCTGAGGTAACCGGATAACATGTAACATCACTTACCCTGAAATCCTACATCCTCCATGACCGCCCTGCTCCTTTCCGTCCAGACTGCCTGCGCAAAGCCTACAGCCTATGTTGTTCCACCCGTCCTGCTCCACTTTGACTTCACTGGAGCTCGAGGAGAGCGTGCTCGATATTACTATTTTAATTCATAGGAGCAAAACATACGGTCATTAACGCTTAATTTAATGCTTAATATCTTATCTTAATACTTAACTTAATATTTTAAAAAATCCCCATCAGCATGCAGCGTATGTGCAGTTCAGTGGCGGCTGCTGGAGTTTTCTCTGGGGGTCTATAAATTCAAAATTCAAAAGTTTTGCTCAAAATTCTCATGAGATTTGGATGGAACCACAGCTAGTACTTTTGACGTAATTTACGATAGTGGATTTTAACTGAGGCAGAGAAGCAATGTCTGCTCTGTGGTCTGTTTTTAATGGAGTCCAAAGGGTAAGGAAATATAATATCTGTTGGTAGATGCACAGCTGTTGATATCAGCCCAGATTTTCATGTAGGTGCATCCCTACATTTTTACCTAAAGGAATGATGGGAAATTGTACGACGAGTATTAGGGCCAAGCAAGAGATTTATTTTTTCTCCTCTATTTCGAGTATAAAGTTGTAACATTACGAGAATAAAGTTGCAATGAGAATAGTCATAAAATTCCAATAATAAATTCATGAAATTACGAGAATAAAGTCATAAAATTACGAGAATAAAGTCGTAAATTAACAAGAATAGTCTTAAAATTACGAGAATAAATTTGTAAAATTACGAGAATAAATTCGCAATGAGAATAGTCATAAAATTATGAGAATAAAGTGGTAAAATTACAGAATACAGTTGTAATATTAGGAGAATAAAGTCCTAAAATTATGAGAAACAAGTTGTACTTAATGGCAACTCTTACAAAAAGCACATTCTCTCCTAAAATGAGGAGCATTATGCAATGTTGAGCATTATGTGAAGTTATACATTGGCTCTGGTTTGACAAATAAGGAAATCATTTAGCACAGCAACATCAAATTGGGCAGGATGTCAAAGTGGACTCAGGTTATAGTTTGGTGATGCTGGACGGCCATCATATGCTGGTCGGAGCTTGAAGCTTTCTTTCTGAAACGGGTTGTGGTACGATGACTTCATTCTCATAATATTACAACTTTATTCTCGTTTTTTGAAACTTTATTCTTGAAATAGCAGAGCATAAAATCTCTAGCCTGGCCATAATACCCCGTCATAGAGAAAGGGCTACTACTGCACCTCCAATCTGGTAGATAGTGCCTCGGAGCCTTTCTGCTATGCAGTGCAGGACCATTTTTGCAGTTGAGGCAGTCAGTAGAAGACATGGACTGACTCAAACCAGAATCGATATGGATTCTGATGAGCATGCGCACTTGCTTTTTTTTTATCTATACATTTCATTTTGATAGCTGGGTAAAATATCGCAGTATATAGTGATGTTGCAATACTGTGATGATATCGTATTTGCTTGCAAAATGTCGATGTTTTTTTTTTTTTTTTACAATTTTGGTATAATTAATGCTCTAAGTGGGCTACTCTATCAGATAAATGCAGGTTGTAGAGTCTCAATTCTCCAGTTAATGATTAATCAATTACTTAATTAATTGACAATTATTTCAATAATTGATTACTGCTAATGATGACATAAGTGGTAATCGTTTATTCCTACATTGTTTTAAAAAAAATATATATAAAAAATATAACCGAGGGATGTCTGGGGGACAGTGATTGGCCTACATGTTATGAATGCTGGCGAACCATAAAGAATAAATTATGAACAGTTTAGTTTGTCCCTTCAAGTCGTTGCCCATAGGAAGCCGTTACTTGGATATAACCTAACAGAATATCTTCAGAAAAGCTCCAAATGACACAAAAGCTCATATGGGTGAGTAGAACATGATGTAATAAATTAAAATCAAGGGCCCAATGTCATAAAAAAAAAAAAACGGAGTTCCCCGTTAAAAAGAAATCTGGAAGAGCACTCAGAATGTCGAGACCTCCACCAAGTAGCTCCTTTTCCCCCTGAAATATTGCGACTTCCGTCTTAAGTTAATACCTGTATTCACAAAATCTTTAAAAAATGAAATCCTGGATCTAAATGGTCATCTGGTTTATTACAAAAATGTTAAAATGATTATTTTGGCAATTAAATAAATACAAAGTACATACTTTCCCATTGCAGTGTCCATATAATCTGAAATACTCTCTGCATGATTTATAATAAAGCTAATTACATGCATAAATCAAGCAGAACACTATAGCGATAGCCGTACTGCTCCACTTGTGAAAGTAAAATCTTTTGGGCTCTTTTTGGCATCAAGACAATTATTCTTATTGCCACATCGCCAGACAAGACACTGTGGAAAAAAATAAAAAATAAATAAAACACAGAGTAAATGACCTAAATGTATTTCTAGGGGTCACATTTTGTGCAGTGTTATTTTCGGGGTTACAGGCGTAAATGTTTGGTAGCCCCTGATCTATCAAGTAGAATCTCTATGTAAAATGTAATAAAATGTTAGGAACATTAAGGAAGTGACATAGATGTTTGCCACTGATTGAAACCTATCTGAGGGTGCTTCCATGCTGGGCAGTGGCGTTGATATTTACTAATGGAAGACTGTGTGTGTTGATTCTACCTGGACCATTCGAATGAACAAATCCAGTAACAACAAGTTCATATTAATCCTGCTGCTTTGTTCATGACATCCACCCTGCATGCTTTTCCCTTTGCTGCACGACTCTTTATTCCTCTGAAATGAGCTGGGAACCACCTGAGGGCATGTTGTCGATACTAAAGCCTCTATGCTTCTAACACTCTCAAATTAATTTCTTTACAAGACTATAAATGTTTTTTTTTTTTGTTTTTTTTAAGGCAATATGCTTTGTCTGTAATGAAAAACAAAACACCAGCAGTTACCCTCCACTGTTGCTGGCTGTCCTGCAGAAAGCTCGGCTGGAGTTATTGTTGCAACATTCATCCATCCAGCAGCATGCTGATGAATTCATTAAAGTGTTTACATGCTGCTGTGCAGAGTGAAACATTCCTGAGGTCAGCGCTGGTGAGCTGCTGGCGATTGGCATCTACTCAAAATTCTCTAACTTGGAATATCAAAAAAACTCTGCAGGTGTTTTGTTTTAATAAGCTGCTTTTATTCTTACTATAGCTGTTATTATGTGTGTGTGTGAGTGTGTGCGTGTATGTGTGTGTGGACTCATCTATGTGCATTTATTTGTGAGCATTTTTTAAAGCCTCATCATGTTTTAATGTTTGTGTCTCTCCTTCCTCCTACGCCTGTAGAGATTTTACGTTGCCACGTCGCGGCAGCTTAAGCGTCTGGAGTCGGTCAGCCGCTCCCCGATATACTCCCATTTCTCGGAGACCATCACTGGCTCGAGCGTAATCCGAGCCTATGGCAGGCACGATGCCTTTGTTCACATGAATGATATGAAGGTGGATGATAACCAAAAGAGTTACTACCCTGGTATAGTGTCCAACAGGTAAGTCTCCTGCCTCTATCCCGCTGATCAGCAGCTCTTTTCCGGTTTGGTTATAACAGACTTATTACAGTGCAACACACGCCTTTTGATTTACGCGCCTAACTTATACAAAATATGAACATTTCACCAGCTCAGATAATATTATGAAATGATGGGTCTATAATCCCAGATGCATTAAAATAGATTGAGGCATCAGCGGGGTGATTTATTTATGACGCCTTAGCTCTCCTGGAAAGGTTTTCCTCAAGTTTGAGTCTTTTTAACTGGAAGCATTTTAACTGGAATATTTTCAGTTAATCTAAAACTACATCAATGAGGTCAGATTACTACAGGCAAATTACTAATTTAGACTCTTTAGAACAAGTTGAAACAATCAGATCTGGTCCATATTCGATTCTTTCCAGTCAGCTTTCACACACGTCCATATCCGTTCCTGAAAGTGACTCATATGTGATCATTTAAATGTGATTGAAGTGGGAAAAATCAATACGCACTCGATTGAACCCTGACATCTCAGCTTATGGACATCTAATGGACGGTGTTTATTCCAGCATTGCTCAGTGGGACAGTGAGATTTTAAACTTTCATATATAGAGCATTAATTTATTCATATATAGAGCATTAATTTATTCATATATAGAGCAAAACCTCCATCCAGGCCGGATTGGACGGCTGCAGAAGTGTCGATGAGGGATGTAGGATGTTTGGTAATCGCTCTCCCGTTTTAGTGCCATACAATAGATCCTAAGGATGGGAGAGAGAGGTGCTGACACAAATAAAAGATGTCCTCTACATCCTAAGGTTCTGAATGAACTTGTCTTTGTGAATTTGTTTACATTCCTATCCCTTAAATCATTACTTTGACCTCAGCTGGCAGCCAGAGATTATAAAATGCAACAATACACTTTAATATTTAACACCTATTTCTTGTTTTGTGCATGTGACTCAACATGGAGCAGCAAACAGCTCACGCTAGAGTCATATCAAAGCAATATGAATGACCTTCCAGAAGAATATGGCTTTTAGTAGAAAACTGAGATTAATTCTTAAGAGCTGCAGTGAGAATGAAGCCCAAAAGAATCCTGTCAGAATCCAAACTCCTGCCAGCTCCTGCTGTCTTGGTGCCACAACATTTAGAGCTCCTTTCATTGGACCTAAATGTCCTTTGAAAAATCCATACCTAACCATTGACACAGTGCAGAGTCCAGTAACACCATCTTTTCAGCTCTACATCCACTGGTTACCACCAGTGGCAATACATCGTAGGGTCGTAGGGAAGTCATACTTAAATTTCAAATCATTCTGACTTAAACATGTATATAAATGTACTCTTTATCAGACAATATTGTCCCAAAATTGAGAAAATTTCTATTTAAAAAAGAAAATCCTATCTTAAAATCTGTGTTTTTTTTTCTTTTCATTATCTTATGCAGGCCAGTTAGTTATACCTCAGCTTGTGCACCTAAATTCGGCCACTCAAATATCAACAGTCATCTGTCAATCAAATTTTTCCGGTCATAGCATCTTGATTCATATGTCGCAGCTAATTTACTTCAATATTGAGTTCTGTCCCAGTGTTCACGGAGATGGACCTCTGTGTCTTCAGCAGGCGTAGAGCTAACAGAACTGGCAGCGTTGCGAGGCGAGGGCTCAAACATGTACAGCTGTAAGCCTTCTACACCAAACCAAGCTTCTGCCCCCCTGGCGTCCTCTTCCACAACATCTTCATCCCCGCTTTCCTCCTCTAAATAGAAAATGTATGATGGAGGAGACTCATCCATGACCTCGACACAAAACTCTCCTCTTGCATGTTTCCTCTGTCCATAGCGTTCCTTGACAGCGTCGTTTCTAAGTCACCAATTTAGTGCTACTTGGTCCCAATGGAATTTTCCATTGGGAACCTACTAGCACTAAGTTGTTAACTGGTTAGCAAGATGCTTCCGACACACCGGCCACAACAATCCCGCACCCTTTTTTTATTTTTTATTTTATTTTGTTTATTAAACATTTTGAACACAAGACAACAATCCCACCCCCTTGATAAACGACCAATCACATTCACTCTATTCATTTGTGTAAAGTCGTGCACCACTCGGGAGAATTTGGAAATGGAACGGTTGGAACAGCCGTCTCCCTACGACTTTAAAGCTTTGGTTGTACTGTGTTTGTGCAGGTTTGGAGCCATTTGCTTCACAGAGTGTTTAAAAAACCTGTGTACTGAGCCCCTCAGCATCCACTGCTAAGGCTCATGTGTCGATTAATTATTCCTTATTTCTTCCAGCTTATCATATTAACACTAATAGCTTACAGTAGAGAGGAGATTCTTAGCTGGACTTATTACACAGTTCACCTGTAACAGGTCCACTCTGGAGGTCACTGATCTCCTGCTCAGTCCTTTACGAATGTTTGTAGAAACAGTTTGCCTGCAGCGGTGCTTTTTATAACAAACCTGTGGCCATGAAAGAGATTGAATTCCTGGATTAAATTATTTGGAGGATTTAGTGAATAGTTTAGTGAGGCAGTTTGTTTGAAGAGGTTAACTATACTTTAGCAGCTCCAGTTATTTATTTTTTTAATCATGCTTAGCTGTATGATTGAATTCCAGCAACAAACTTGACATTGTTTAAAAAAGAGGAAGTTGGAGAGAAACATTTATTATTGAGTTATTTATGATGAACAAGGTTGACATATATGAAAATCTTTTTTTTAAGGCAGACTGTTAATTCAAACAGGAAAACTTTACTTAGATTACAAAACTATTTTAATTGAACAGTTCATATCACTACAAAAATAAACACCTGAGGGTGTCTGTGGATATTCACTAACATCTCTCATCACAGAACCTTTGTTCACCAACTTTTCCCCATGTTTGCTTTATCATAGTTGTTGATTTACTAAGCAAACTGATGTAATGCTACGGCAGCCTGAACACACACACAGAAAGCAACAGTTGGATTAGTTTGCTTATCTGCATCGAGTCAAAGTCGTTTTCACTCTAAATGTGACCAACATGGCCCGGCAAAAACAATAACATTGCTTTCCAGTATTATTGTATGGAAAACATTTTTTAAACAAAAAAGAAACAAAAAAATATATACAATTTAGAAATGCAAGTTTTAAAAATGTCATTCAATGAAAATGTTAAGAGTAACTTTAGTTACTCTTAACAAATGTTTTGTTTATTATTCCCAATTTTATATATTTTTTTTTAAGATTTAAATTTAAAATTTCTCTTTCAGATTGAGTTTCACAAGTTGCATTCTTTTTAAATTGCATTTTATAAAAAGCATCTTTTCCACTTTAAGCCTAATAAAAATGCATGGGGCCTGCACCATCTTTGTTCTCTCTCGGGTCCTAGACAAATCCCGTTATGCCCACTATGCAAAGCATTCTGGGATATATCTACTTGAATAGTGACCGTGGACGATCACAGTCACTACCCGATCCGTCCCGGAAGCACAATCCGTTCTGAATGCGCATCCAGATATACATCCGGGTCATCCTCGATTTTATTTTGTTAAAAAGACCTAAATGACATTTCCCCTCCCAAAAAATAGTAAACATACTAAAATATAATGTGTTAAAGGTTAATAAAGTATTTCCTGAGAAAATAAATGCCTTATAATCCTTTCGGTTTTATCAGTCGTCTCTGCCCGATCTGCACCAGAAATGGGACTCGACGCTACATCTGGTGGCTAACTTTTTTTGGCTTTGGATTTAAACATAAATCTAGTCTTTTTGAGTATTGTGTTTTCATTTAGTTTTAATCTTATGATATAAAGTGCGTAATTTAAAGAAGGAAACAACTTAAATGCAGATAAATATGGCTTAATCATATTTTGCTCTGAGCATGCTGATGATGACGTCAGAGAAGCAGTTTAACGAAGAAAATGTAAAAAGCATAAAATTGTCTCAGAAGAGTCATAAAATTTTTTTTTAAAGATGTGTATTAGTGTTCTTTAGTGAGTTAGGGATAGAAATAAGTAGTAGTAGTAGTTTTAGTACCATAATTACATTATTTATGGACACCCGGATGTATTTCTGTTTGCGCAGGATGGATCGTGCTTCCAGGACGGATCGGGGAGTGACACTCACTACTTCTTAAGGCGCATTGTGGGAAATTTTAAATCAATTACTTTTTCATCCACTAGACATTCGGGCATTTTTATACAATATTTAGTGCTCTATACCGGGGACTGAGACGATGTGTGGACAAAGCCTTTCTCTCCCCTAGGATCCTGTTTATGCCTTTACTAAGGAGCTGGTTCCATATAAGATGATCAAGATGATCACCCCCCCAGACCTAAAAGACAGATCCCTGCTGTTGCTAAAAATCCTAGCCTCCTCATTCTTATTTAATTTTTTTTTTTGTATTGATTTTACATGCATTCTTTAAAAAACATCTTTATGTATCATCAACCTCTTGTGGACTCTCCTTCTAGGCAGTAGTATATTTTTCTGCGTTGGAGAATAATTGTATTAAGTCTAATGGATTAGTATAAGTGCTTAATTTACCATCGTTAAAGGTCCAAAGGTTAAAGGTTAAAGGTTACCATCATGTTTTGTACACCCAAAACCTGATTAGCCTTCATTTTCTACTCACCCCCATGCTGAACAACACCCTGGAGTACTTTTTTGATATCTCAAATGCATCTGGAGATCTGGGAGGCTTCTTGCTGTCTGCTGACATTCAAATAATGGAGGTCTATGGTGACCGAGACAGAAAGGTCCATAAAAGTCCACAAAAAACGTGTCAATATTCCTCCATACTGCTCGTCCAATGTATTCCAAGTGTCCTGAGTGGGTAGCATCCAGAATTTACTCGAAACGAAGTCATTTAGAATGTTTTTAGAGCATAAACAGTAGTGTATAGGATTTCCTGAAAGCGCGCACCTGCGCGATCCCGACGCTACGGAAGCCGGCAGACCAAACCAGCGCATTCAGCTCCTCAAAGAACTCATTCTCTTCCTCAACACTGAAGTCCTCAGACATTTTTCTTTCGTTGTTTCTTTCTTTGCACAGGTAAACAGCACATTTCTTCTTCTACGCTTGCATTATTGGCAGAGCAGACGCTGAATGCGCACTTTCATCTGGTTTGGTCTGCCGGCTTCCGTAGCGTTGTGACCTTTCTGTCTCGGGCGCCATAGACCTCCATTATTTGAATGTCAGCAGACAGCAAGGAGCCTCCCAGATCTCCAGATGCATTTGAGATATCAAAAAAGTACTCCAGAGTGTTGTTCAGCATGGGGGTGAGTAGAAAATGATGGCTAATCATGTTTTGGGTGTACTATTCCTTTAAGGCATCAACCTACCAGCAACCATATAAAATATCATAAAATGTTTGATTAGAGAGCTATAATTTAGATTGAAAGCAACATCCTCCTTCTATAATATAGAAACTTTCCCTATGAGAGCAGCAGCTGTTCAATGGTAAGGAGGTTAGAGAAGTTGCAGCTAAAGCATGAAAAACCACAGAATCGAGCAGGTCTTACAGAAGGATAATTGTGTCCTCATGAAGTGGATCAGCTTTTAACCGGAACCCTGTCGTCACGCAGGTGGCTGGGAGTACGCATCGAGTTCATCGGGAACTGCATCGTTTTGTTTGCTGGTCTCTTCGCCGTGGGGGGGAAGAACACTCTGAACCCAGGCCTCGTGGGTCTGTCTGTGTCATACGCTCTCCAGGTACCTGCAGCGGTGGATTTTTTTTAAACATGTGATTATGAATTTGCTTCCCATCTCTCCTCCTCACAACAGATTTTTTTTTTTTTTTACTCCTTCGTATTAAAAAAAGATCAGAGTTTTATCCCATAGCAGCTGTATCTATTCACACAAGTTAATCAACAAAGAAAGCTTTCTCATTATATTTCATTTTTTTATATTTAGATTTCATTATTTTTGTCATTTTATTTTTTACTTTTGTTTGTAGCACTTGAATATAGCTTCCTATATAAATGGCTTTATAAACATAATTTACTTAGTATTTATTATATTAAATCAAATTTTTAATCATTATTAGATCGAACTCCAAGGTTTGGAACCTCCTCTTTCCTCTACAGCCACTCTCAAACGGCCTGCAGAACATGCAATCTACTAATTTAAATGGCAGAACCAACCCCGTTTGCATGTTTTAACTTTATCTCAGCAAATCAACTGCAAAAATTATAAATCTAACCAAGTTATTTTTTCTTAGGATAAGTGCATTTCTTCTTTAATTGAGGAGGAAAGAGAGATACTTTGCCAATGGAACAGACAATTTACATTTAAAATAAGAAAAAAATATTGCTGTCTCATTTCAAGTGCATTTTATCTACTTATTTTATTTTAAGAGTAAAAGTATTAATTCCAATGGCAGATCATCTTATTTACCTGCTCAAATTAAGGGAAAATACACTTTATTTAAGACATTTTCACTCATTTCTAGATCGTTTTTGCAGTGCACCTTTTTCTCTGAATCTTTAAAGATCCGGCCAGTCTTTCTTTGTATTATTTAGGTCCCCAATAAGTCCAAGTGTTTGTAAATCTACCAGATACTGCTTGAGTGCAAAGAAGAAAGCAGTTGTTAAAAGAAAGCAGTGCTATTGGACAGAATTAGCTTTTAGCTCAGATTGTAGATGTGGATGAGAACATCCACTTAAATGCTGCCTCCCCATGCTGAAGCACGGTGGTGGCAGTAAGGATGCTTCTCCTCAGCTGGAAGTTGTGAGTTGTTTGGAGGATAGAAGAAGCTAAGTAGAGGTATTTTTTGCACAGAAGTAGTCAAAAACATCTAATATGTATAAATTTGTCAGTGAATGTCAACAAACAGTACATAAATACTGTTACAACCCGGTTTATTTGAACAGGTGACCATGTCCCTGAACTGGATGGTCCGGATGACGTCAGACCTGGAGAACAACATCGTAGCGGTGGAGAGAGTGAAGGAGTACTCAGAAACCGAGACTGAGGTTTGTTGATTTAAAATGTGCCAAGTTAAGGACCGTGGATGTTCCACAGAAGCTAATGCAGGACCCAACATGTGTTCACTTTAAAATGATGGCTGCCTCCACTCTCCCCACTACCCCCCCTGAAAAAACACAGGAATTCAGCAACATTTCATAAAGCCTCTCAGCTCAAAGAGCACAAGACCTATAAAGCATAACTAGAACCAGAAATGTTTCGTTACCTGATTCCAACAAGCCCTCTGCCTGTTGCGTAACACAAACAGGGCATTTTGTACAGCCTGTACTTTTGCAGCCCCCCACCCCCCCTGTTAACTGACTGCTGCACGTCGGATAAAAAGCTTTTGTTTTGAAGTGAAACAAAATGTCCCTCCTGCTGAAGGCCGCTCAGGCTGCAGAGGAGACCAGTGTCAGAAAAGCTTTGTTCTTCTCCTTCACAGGCCCCATGGGAGGTGGAGGACAAAAAGCCTCCTCCTGAATGGCCCATGAAGGGGAACGTGGAGTTCAACCAGTACTGCGTTCGGTACCGCGAGGGTCTGGACCTCGTGCTGAAGAACATCACACTAAGCGTGAAAGGAGGAGAGAAGGTGGCGGCTCGTTCACCAGATAGATTTTTACTCTGGCACCATTACTGGCCAGAAAGGGGTCCTTCTGACGGCTCCTGTTGCTTTTTGAGCAGATCGGCATCGTCGGTCGCACCGGAGCGGGGAAATCTTCCATGACGCTTTCGCTCTTCAGACTGCTGGAAGCTGCAGGAGGAGAGATCACCATTGACAGCGTGAAGATATCCGAGATAGGTCTGCACGACCTGAGGTCCAAACTCACCATCATTCCACAGGTACAAACCGTCTGCCTCACACAGACCTTACTGAGGGAGCTTCAGTCCACATGATGACAGTCTGAACTGCTGGTGTCAGTTAGTGCATGTGTGGTAAAACATCCGCCATATTTGGTTTGCTGCAGGTTGTATTGGAAGCTCTTTATATGAAGATGGCTCAAAAATTATTATAGCTTGTAAAAGACTAATGAAGGAAACTTTATTGACCCTTCACAGATCCACAAAAAGCAAAGTAAAGGAGGTTTTGGTGTCCGTGTTGGTAAAAGAATTGGTTACAACCTATTTCCAGTTTGATGGAAGAGTCCAGTAGGATTTAATTAAATCTCCAGATTCTGAGCAGAGCGAAACGGGCCTATGAGGAAAGTTAATTTATAATAGCACAGTTCAAAGTGCTTCCCATGAATTTAACAATAAAATAAAAGGAAAATAAAGCAGAAAGTAAAGACAAAGCCAGGTAGTAAAGCAAATAAACTACTGGAAAACAAGCTTAAACTAATACCTCAGTTAACTGTATAACTTCACCAGTTAATAGCAGCTCTAAACAAATAGGTTTTTAACTTTGATTTAAACTCAGGCTCTCAGCACTTTTACGGTTTTCTGGGAGTTTGTTTAAGATCAAGGGAGCGTAGGAGCTAAATACTGCTTCTCCATGGATGTTTGGAGTATGGACTTGTGTCTTCGCAAGTACGTTCTTGACAAGAACACAGGAAAGTATGGACTTTGTAAGAATGGGAGTACACAGAGTAAATCTGCGTCAATTGGAACAGAAGCGTACTCCTGACGTCATCACACGCTCTGCTCGTCTGGAGCTGCATTTCGCCTCCTTTTATTAATAGTCTCTAGATAGTAACAAATTATAGCCAATATAGAAGCGTGGTCTGCGATGTTATTCCACGCCACAACGCAAGAGGGACAATCACCAACTAGTTGTGGGTAGATACAGCCGAGGTGGTGAGGAAGTGGGGGAAACATTGTGTGAGAACGGAGGGACATGAGGGCGAAAAAGAGCGGGGATCCAGGTGGGAAAATGGTCCCAGCATTCTCACGCACCTCGCTCTTATAGCTGGTCCATCTTCACGAGTCATTTTCCACGATAGCGGTCATACAAACAAAACAAGCCGGTAAGGTACCAAACAGGAAACACGCATAGTGTAGAGCGGATGTAGATTTGACCAATCAGAGGCCTCCTGTCTGCGGTCACCTACGATTTTGGAGAGGGGCAGCAGAGTGTCTGCGGAAGGAGGGGGGCTCATTTGCTTTTACTGGGACACACACGCAGACCACCTGGTTTCTGAGCATAAATCAGCCTTTATTGGTTCTGATCAACATAAGAGCGTAAAATATCAATGGATTCAGTCTTTTTTATGTCTTGATCACTGTGTGGTCCATCCTCAGGAGCCTGTCCTCTTCTCTGGGACGCTGCGGATGAACCTGGACCCGTTTGACAAGTACAGTGATGAAGAGGTGTGGAAAGCCCTGGAACACTCCCACCTCAGTAGGTTTGTCAGCAACCAGTCGGCAAAACTGGAGATGGAGTGTTCAGAGGGAGGAGAGAACCTCAGGTGGGTTTAAAAGAGAGGAGAAATGGAATGATGTGTCTCTCTCCTTTTACAGACTGGTTTTACTGGTTCTCTGTTTTATCTCCAGTGTGGGCCAGAGGCAGCTGGTGTGTTTGGCTCGAGCTCTGCTGAGGAAGACGAGGATTCTCATCCTGGATGAAGCTACAGCTGCTATCGACCTGGAGACGGACGATCTCATCCAGTCCACCATCAGGACTCAATTTGAGGAATCCACCGTTTTCACCATCGCACACAGACTGAACACTATTATGGACTACACAAGGTTAGACTGATAATGTGTATTCCCCATAGGCTGTAGTGGGACAAGTCTGGGCAAGAAAACATTCTTCATATCCTGTCACATTAAAAACTTTAATGCAGTTTTATCAGGATTTTGTAGATATAGTAAAATGGAATAGAAAATCTCTTTATTGTCCCACAATGGGGAAATTCTGTTTTTTGCGGCAGCAAAAAATATATAAAATAAAGATAGAAAAGAATGATCACATAAATGTGGAGCTTATAAGAATGTATAAGAATAACATAATAGTGAAGAGTTAAAAGATAAAAAAAATAAAATACTGTACTGTAAAGTGTTTTATATAAAATATAAAACTGCACCTGGAGAATAAATAACCAATATAGTAATGCATATTTGAAAATAGCAGCAACATCAAAGAAGTGCAAAATGAGAGCAGCATGTTATTTAACTGACTAAGGTAGAAACTGTGCAACATCAGCATGCATGTAACAACTTATTGAGATTGTTGGGAACAGTGGTGGTTATAGAGTCTTATGAGGACCAAGGAACACAGCAGAAGGAAAAAAGCTGCTGTACAATTAAGGATAAGGCTAGAAAGTAATATCTTAAGCTCAGATCATCTAGCAGTTTAATAGTTCATTATTTGATCTGAAAAAAACAACTTATAACAGCCCTTCTGAAACATTCAGAATCAGTTTTATTGCCAAGTAGGTTTGTACTAACAAGGAATTTGACTTGGTGTTGATGGTGCAGACAAATGTAGGGATGGGACGATTTATGAAAACCGTCCGAATCGTTCGGTTCGACTGTCTCGGTTCGGTTCGCGTGTGTTTCGTTCGGTTCATGCGCTGCTCCTTTTTCTCATAGGCGAAGCGTTTACACTCCAGAGCAGAAGGTGGCGGTACTGCGACCAAAGCCAACCACCAGTAGTAAACAAGAAGAAGAAGAAGCGAAGCGGCACAGCCGGGTGTAGCAGAAAAAAATCAGTTGTTGTGGAGAATTGTGTCGGAATGGCGAGAGGGAAAGAACAGGAGTTGGAAAACGCGCCAGCAGCACTTTATAGGTCTGCTGTATGGGAGCGCTTTGCATTTAGAGTGACCTACGATGACAGCGGAAAGTTGTGGATAAAAGTGCAACAGTGTGCGAGCAATGTGCAACACGTTTTGTTTAGGCTAACAGCAACATGACCAACATGTCATGCTAACCCTGAAATCCCTCATACTCCGTCAGCAACCCCCGCTCCGCCCCGCTGCGCTAAAGACCGGCTGCACAAAGCAAAGCCTACAGCCTCCACTGTGGCTCCCGTCCGCTCCCCTCTGAGTCCCTTGGAGATGGTAGAGAGCATGCGCCAAATGATTAAATTCAAAGCAGCAAAACATATGGAAATGATCCAGGGTTTCCGCGGATCATTTAAAATAATTACAATCCATTATTTTTTGGGGGATTTTTTCATTAATTTCATAAATTTTTATGGGATTTCGGTGTAACAATCAACATACACCGAATCGAACCGATCCGAAAACCGTGACCACAAAACCGTGAATCGAACCGAACCGTGGATTTTGTGAACCGTTCCACCTCTAATATATATATATATATATATATATATATATATATACAGAATACAGAATCTATAGCTATATGCAATATAAAACATGCAGTATACTATATACAATATATAGTATGTGGAGTTAGGAAGCTGAGGCGGAGGCATTTCTTGCAAGAAATAATGTTCAAATTTGTTTAACATCCTCGGACGGAGAGATGGAGCGCTCTGACTGAGGCATATCTGTACATACATTTATTCCTTACAAAATCATACACACACTCCCCCCAGGTGAACCAACCCATCCCCTGCATGAAGAACTTTCTCACACTTGAACATCGAAGCTTGAGTTCATCAAGGCCATTCCCTTTTAGTTTAATTTATCTTTCACTGAGATGGATCTTCTCAAAACAACAGTCCTCCCCTTTTTGCCATGAAGGAGGTTGTGTAACTCATTCTTATCTCTCATGACCTTCGTTTGGAGCCTGTGAGACTAAGAAAAGAGACGCATCAACATTTTTTTACCTCAAAGTATATAGCTGTATACTATATACACAGTAGACTGTGCGTTAATGTAACAAGGGAGGTCTGGAGATGCTACGTTGGTGTAGATTGTAGGTACTGAATGGGGGAGGGAAAGAAGCAGTGGGGTCTCTGGGCCTTGCTGATAAGGTTGATAGTGGATGGGAAGAAACTTTGTGCTTTATCTAAACTGATGTAGAACAGATAGTTTAAAAGAGGGGTGAAGGAATCCATCTTGTAACTACCACTCATGTTCTCCACATGAAGATTGCTAAAACAGGAGAAAATCCTATAAAGCCCATCAGCTTTCAGCCACATACAGGAACAATAAATGCGCGTATAAGAAAGTCCTCTAGTGAGATGAGGAAAGGGTTAAGGTTTTTCCCTCCATAGAAAGTAACGATGTAAGGGAGAAATAATGCTGCACCAATGACGCTGCTGCCAGATACTTGCTTTTCTACAGGAAGGGGACTCCTAATCTCAGATGAAAATATCTTAGAGGGGGCGGAAGTCCCCTCCAAACAGGGCCACAATCTTAAACTGATTCTGGAGCCACAATGAAATGAACGGTTTAGATTTTAAATGAATTTACATGTTGGGATGGTCTAGTCAAAGTCTAGACATAAACTAAAACGGTAAAATATAGATGTGGAAAATTGTAGAAAAATAAAGAAACCAGCAGCTGTGCGACCAGAGAGAGGTTTGTCTTCATGCTGTAGACTGACGGCAGCTGAATACCAGTACCTGTCACTATATTTTCAGATTGTTCGATTTGTACTCGTGTAAAATCCATACCAAGAGTTGGTCAGTTGCATAAAATCCAAACAGAAAAACTAAAGGCTGAATATGAAAGAACACAAAGTTGTTTAAAAGTGAGACGTTTTTCTAGAAGAGCATGTGGTGAACATTTGGACCCAGAAGTTAGGCGAACCCTCAGCTAGACAGTGTTGACGCTTTATGAGAAATTAATGTGAATTATTGATCACAGCAGCCTTTATCCTTCCAATGATCCCTTTAATGCCTCCGGTTATGGCCGTCGCCGACACACAAGTGTCTAAAAGATCAGCTTCCCGTCACGGTGGGCAGGTGTTCACGTTGCTTATATAATATTTAGCAGCTTTTACCGTCACTATCCATCTTGGGGAATTGAGCTGAGTTCTGATCGTTTGGAAGGGAGCCGGTCTTTGGATTTACCGTCTGATAGATAATGAAAGAAAGCAGGGGTGTTAAAGGGTGACTCTTCAGGGATAAAAGAGATGGTGATCGTTGCTGCTATTCTGTTAAAGCGACAGCTGCTCTGCAGGCGACTCTGCTTCTTCACTCCCAGCGTGTCCCACACTGCAAAAAAATGTCATTTAAATAAGTAATTTTTCTTAAAAGAGATTTTTTTTTAAATGAAGAGGTGAGGAAGACACTTTTCCAAAGGAACAAGGCAAGTTAAGATAAGAAAAATAGCAATTGCATTGTCTTATTTCAAGTGCATATTATCTAATTATCTTATCTAAAGAGTAGAAATACTCATTCCATTGGTTGATCATCTTACTTACCTGCTTACATTAATGGTAAATAATACTTATTTCTAGATTGTTTTTGCAGAACATTTGGTCCTGCTTACCAATGCCCACTTAAACACCCTTAACCCATTCACCCTTCTCTTCTCTGTTCTGCTGATGGAAAAGCTGCAGCCTGTCCGTAACTCTTCTGTTCTCTCTCCTGTTCCAGAGTGCTGGTGTTGGACAAGGGACAGATAGCAGAGTTTGATACCCCCACAAACCTGATATCGCAAAGAGGAATCTTCTACGGCATGGCTAAAGATGCAGGACTAGCACAGTAGCGCGGCCAGCTTAGCTCACCGCAGCCCCACTCTGGGCTTTAAACCTGGCAGCCGAGCTGTACATCACTTATTTGGACTTACTACATGTTGTTATTGTTTTTTTCTGTTTTGATTTTTTTTTTTTTTATCGGCACTTTGTGCTCGTTTTGAATGAAGCCTGAATTCCTTGCAGGCTTGGATCAAATAGCGCTTGGGAAAAGTTCCAGTTGTCGTCAAAAAAACACATCAGGTCTCAATTTTTTTATCCTCCAACCACCCTTAGAATTTCCCTTATGTCATTTAATAGGAAATAAAGCCATATGCGCGGATGCTACTTGATCCAAGCCTGCTCCTTTGTGCCTTCTGCCAGTGGGATAAGAAAGCCAGTGAATGTATCATATTTTAACTGGGCTGACTGCTGCAAAACAGCTAAAAAAAAAGGATGAACTTTTATTTTACTATACAAAGAAGAAGATTGTGCCACTGTACCTTCCTTATAAGAGACAAAAAAACAACTTCTGTGATAAGAACCCATGTTATTTTTGTACTGTACATTTATTTAAGTTACTCTGGAGAGATTTGTATTTTCTTGGAATGTTTTCTCAGTTAAATGTGTGATCTTTCTGTGAACCAAATTTATAAAAACTTGAATTCTGTACCACCAAAATATGAAAATAATGCCTTTATTAAAAAAAAAATATACATATGACAATGGAATATCAGTCTCTGTTCTTCAGTGTTGGTCTCACCCTCACCAGATAAAACCTTCCTATACACTAATGGGAACATTTTAGCAATTTGATTAAAATCTTCTATCACATGGATATGATAGTTATGAATACTTTGAGTTGGGTTAAACAGACAGGTGAATTTTAATTATCATGTACATTACATGATAATTACATGAACATAAGAACATCTAAGGCAGTGGTTCTCAAACTTTTTCTGTCATTCCCCACTTTGGACAAGGGGGAATTTTCAAGCCCCGCCTGTCCCCATCGCCCCAACACAATGCTAATGAAATATGCAACAATCTTAAAATTTTCCAATTTTATTGAAGTAACAAGTAGTATCTAAATACAAACTATCTACATCAAATAACAGCAAGCTCAAAAATAAAGAAAATGAAAATGCAGCTGTGTCAAAATTTGTATCAAGCTCAAAGATAGAAAAAATTAAAGTGCCACTCTGCAATCTGTTAATAAAAGAAAAGAAGTGAAATCCATCTGGCAAGACAGGTCTATTTATCCCTGCATCAGTGGCTGCAATGAGCCTGTTTTGCATTGCACAGTTTCTCAAAACGGGGTTGCAGGCTTGATACTGCCACTCTCAAGTCATGCTCAATGTTCAGCTGAGATCTGTATTTTGTTTTCATTGAAGCAGCAGCTGAAAAGCCCATCTCACAGAGATATGATGTGGCAAAGGGAAGAAGAATGCACACAGCTCTCTGCCCGATGAGTGGATACTCCCTCTCCACTCCAAACCAGAATTCACTATTAGTCTGAGCATTAAACCTGAGCTTCAGGGTGGAGTCAGACGTCATTTCAATAAACTGGTCCTATTTATTTAAGATAAAATATTTCAAATTCAGTTATTTATGATCAACCTGCGCCGTCAATCCCGGCGCATGTGCGCTTTATTTGCAGTCTGGACGCTGAGGGTAAACATGCTGTGTCTCTGCAGCGCTGAGAGGGACTCCTGCGATAGCTGGGGAGAACGGGGTGGGGATGGGGGAGGCGCCCCACGGCAGCACCTGCCGCTGGAGGACAAGAAAAGGAACGATACGTGCTTTCACGTAAGAGTCTCCAAAAGGCGCTAATTTGTCGCTAGTCCCTTTTTTTAAAAAGAGTCGCTGGAGGGGTCTAAAATATAGCAACAAAGTCGCTGAGTTGGCAACACTGGGGCGCGAAAGTTTATTCTGTTACAAATAATATGCCGACGTCACGTCAATCATTATTTTGGCACTTCAGTTCCAGGTGAAATTTTTCTCATATCTAATGTTCTTTTAATTAGACTGCATGTAGGCTATTAATGATTACTTTGTGGGTTTGATTGGTCTAAAAAGCGGCAACATACAGCTATAAGGACAGTTTGCTCTCACACATTCTACATTTATAGTCACACACACACACACACACACACACACCGGAACTTGGCGCGCCCCACCTGTCACGTCTCAATTCCCCACCAGTGGGTCGCGCCACACACTTTGAGAACCGCGGAAAGGCAACAGGTCTGGAGGTAGTTCAGTAGCATTACTCCAGTTCTCCACTAGATGGAGCTCACAGAAGATTTTGAAGAGATCTGATGCAAATATTAACTCATGTTCATAGATCTAAGATTATAACTATTATAGTTTTGTGTATTTAATAAAACCAAACAAATACTTGTTGCTGTTGCAGACCCTTAAACTAGTCACTTAATTGTGTTGTGGAAGGAAAAGGTTGCATGAGTTTTTATACATTTTTAATTTAACAGGAAAATTTGAATAGTGTTTTTAATCTATGGCTAAACTTTAATGAAAAGCAGTCTGTCATAGCTATAGCTGTTATAGATGAAGTGGTTGCATTTTCTTCCCTTGTTAAAATGATTCACAGCTTTGTGTTTTGTCACATAAAATCTCAATAAAACACACTGAATGTTTTACTTGTAGTGTAACAAGAAATGCAAAGATCGTGAGTCTGCTGTATATTTAAGTCCTCTTTGATTTGAGTAGGAGGTTATTCAAGGTGTAAATTATGTTTAAGTTGGTGAGGAGAACTTAAAATAAAAGATCCAATGTGCAGTAAAGTCCTGGGCTGGACTCTGATCTCTATCAGAAAATTTTAATATGATATAGCTGTGAATAAAAAAAGCTATACTTAAAAAAAAAAAACTGTTTTGGACCAAATGACTTGGTTAATTACAGACCTATATCTAATCTTAATTTCTTATCCAAATTCTTGAGAAAGTTGCTCAACAAGTGTGTGACTATTTACACCATAATGAATTTAGTCTGCCTTTAAAGCTCATCATAGCACTGAAACAGCTCTGGTGAAAGTCACTAATGATATTCATGGCCTCAGATAATGGACTTGTATCTTTACTTGTCCTGTTAGATCTAATCGCTGCATTTGACACAGTTGATCATTATATTCTTTTTAAAAACGTGGAATAATAATAATAATAATAATAATAATTTGTAGGAATTAACCAGACAGCACTAGGCTGGTTTGAATCTTTTTTACTTGACATATTTCAGTTCACGTTAATAATAGATCTCCCTCCTGCTCCAGGGTTACAGGTGGAGTACCACAGGGATCAGTGCTAGGACCAATTATGTTTACTATATATGACAACATGGGTTTAATTTCACAACTATAACTATAATACAACTATAGTTTGGTTCACTTTTATGAAATAAAAAGAAAATACATAGAATGTAAGACTTTGTGTCAAGGGGCAAATACATATGAAATAATATTTTCTAAGAAATATAAGTATAAAGAAATGGCAGCTTTTAATGTTTGGGATCCTGCAATTTACCACCATTGTTACCCTTAACTAAAATTGTAAAAAAATATTAAACTTTTCATTTTTAATGTTCTCCCTAGCTCCCCAAAGGGTTTGTTTTCCTTCTACATCCTGATGATGGCCTGTTTTCCTCCTTGGACTGCATGGTGTGGATTTTCCAAATGCAACACCTGAAATAACCTCAGCAGCATTTACCTGCTTTGCAATGAGGCAGCATTTGTAGAACAGATGGAGAATTAGTGTTATAATTTTAAAACTATAACTAGATTTTAGTTTTGATAGAACAGCAAATAACTGTATTATCAGGCTTTTTTCCCCCCATAAGTCAGATACAAAGAAAAACACACAGGGAGCAACTACTGCTTGAAGACCTTATCTCAGATCCCTGAAGGCATGATGTTCCTGTTTAACTAACAGACTAATGGCGGTTATGATTTCTTGATGTTTAATCCAAACTGATTGCAAATTTTTCTGTGATGCCTTCTGAGGTTCTGATTTTCCCCAACAGCTCGTATGACAGGAACTGAACTCAGATATGATGAACTATGAACTGTGCACCAATTTACTTCTGTTAGACATCATCTGAGCAGGCGGAAGGGTGTGAATGTTCAATATAGGTGGTCTGGGATCTGAGCCTTAGCAGGCTGTGGGACACTCCTCTCTGCTTCCCATTCATTAGTTTAATCTGATCAGAGCTACAATGCGGTAGTAATGACAGATGCAGAATTGCGTTCAAATTCATTATGCAAACCCAGGAGCATAAACATAAAATTTTGTTGGTTTTTACTGTAAAGAGGAGCAAAAAAAGTCTGTTAATGTTTATTTTGTTGGTTCTTCAATGCTTCCCTGAAGGTAGTTAAATAAATAAACTGTGATGAGGTCAAAGGTGAGGAAACTTGCTCTCCTCTGAACTTGTTCAATGTGAGAAGTCCAGATTACAAAGAGCACGTTCCATAATCCCACAAGTAATTTCTTTCTTGTGCCTTTCAATTTCTGTACCACACATTTAGACACATGTTCTTTGTGTGGCCAGAAGGAGGCGCACTGGACTATGCCAGGAAGTGCATGATGTAGTCCGTATATTTAGATCAATAATTGCTTAATCTGCAATTCACTTAGAACACAAGTTTAAGATAATTCATATAGTAGGTTAGGATTCTGAAAGTTTTTTTTTTCTTCAAAAATGTTAGGTTTTCTGTTTAAACTCAAGTTCAAGGCCCTGATAAATCAGGCATAATCTGATTGATAGTTTTTTTGTACTTGTAGCCTCAACTTCTGGTACAGATTATCTTTCCATGTATCTACTAGTCAGAGTCAAAGCTAGGTAGTAACTAGTTACACTTACTTGACCAACTATTTAGGAAAAAAATACTTTTATGAATTACTTTACTAGACTGGCGACCTGTCCAGAGTGAACCCGCCTTTGGCCCACAGACTGCTGGAGATAGATGCCAGCCTCACTGTGACCCTGGAAAGGATGAAAGAGAAAATGGATGGATGAAGTTTTACTAAACTTTAATTTTTACTTTTACCTAAGTAATATTTTTGTGAGTGTATCACCTCTCTTACTTAAGTCGGTTTTCTGTTTTCTAGTAACTTTTATTATTTTAATCATGTGAAAAAACACAGTAGATATTGTAGCTGTTTTTTCTGTTTAATTTCCTAAAAGATATGTATTATCTAATGTAATGATTGGCTTTATGTTATGTCTCAAAAAATGATATGAAATTAAGTGTATTTTTTATTTGCATTTATTTGGTTTTACACTTTGAAATACTAGAATTTGCATATAAATGTACGACATTAAATTGCAGACTTACATGAGTACAATTTCTGGGTACTCTACTGACATCTGGTCAGAGTAAAAAAAAGTACTTTTTTGGTACGTAAACTATTTTTATGAAGCATGATGTTTTAAATTACATTTCATTCTTTATTTTTTACTGCTTTATGTGGAGGAATTCAAGTTTGGGTTTACCTTTTTGATATATTTAGCTTTTTTTATTGTATATTGTCTTTGCATAAACTATTTTTATTAGCATGCCATACAAATACAATTGATATAAACTTACTTTATTGGGATAAAAATATACTGATGTTAAAAATTCCTATTCTTCTTGTTCTTCATATTTTTTATTAAAAATAATATCAATTCACCATCCCATACCCATACCGGCTCAATTAAAGTTCAGCCTTTAAAGTCA